TCCTTTTCGAACTGCCGCAAGAATTTCACCTGCATCTGGTTGCTACAAATTTAGAAGATACACGCGATGAACGATTAAATATATGTCAGTAAAAATTTCAAAGATACAAGAAAACTTATAATTAATTATAATTGCATATTAGATTTGCAGGCCTTGAGCCTCCTATCTACTAGTGTTATACCGTAAATTTGCAAGCTATCATTGTCACATATCGAAATCGGTTCCATTCATTTTACAGCAAATTGACTCGACAGTTTAATAGCTAACTAGCTTTCACTACATTTTCGTACATGACTATCATACTTCCATTTACTCAGCAGACAGTAGTGTACTGTATTTGTTTAAGCCGTACTATCCGAGGGCATGGGTTTCTGTCCATATTCGTATATAATATGAACGAGGACGAAGTGTGTAAAATAGATGTCGTTAAAACTATTTACATTACATTGTAGATACGGCTTAAATTACGACATCCGCTTTGCATCGTTGTACCACAGAAGTTACTGCCAAATACAAATTTCTTGCTTGAAATTTGATTTAAAAAAATTTCCAATCTGACTGAAGCTAATAACAATCTCTGTGTATATTAATTATTATAGATCCAATTGCAGTAACAGCAACGAGAGATTTGAGGTTATGGCTTAGTGCATTATACGTATATGTAAGTAATAAATAAAAAAAAAAATAGATATACCGTACGCTTATCCGATCAATAAACAACGACCCCATAGGTAGCTCATACGTGAACAGGTGTAAGTCTGTACTACAATGAGTAAAGAGTCCCTCCGGGCTCGACTCTGGGTTTTGTCAGAAACATTGAAAGTACTTTAGTGTACTACGGTGCCACAGCTGTTCATGAAATGATGAATACTTATAGAAATATAAGGTTTTTTCTTCTATCTCTACGTGAACACTACTGTAACAGTCATAATAATTAAAAAAGAAATAGAAAACTGAAATTTGAACTTTCTTAGCGTGCAATAGCTATTTCTTAGCTGATTTCCATGAAGATTTCATATCTATTTCTTGGTTCAATTAATTATAAATGCACTTAATAGGTTTAGAATGAAAAATAACCTTGAGTTTAAAATTTTCCCCCAAATGTATGCGCATATAATTAATTAATTAAATAAAAAGAATAATGTTTATAATCATTCCGTGAAAAATTACTATCGAGTGAAGAAATTGAAAAAAAAATAATAATAATGGTAAGATGGACGATGGATGGTTATAATGATATCTATCAAACGCTCGCTTTTACTTATCATAGATAGTTCGAAACTTACCGTAACATTCGTATTGGTAATGGTTCGCATTTTGTCAACGTTGTTTCTAAATAAGAGCAATAAGTGAATAGGCTAAAAAAGAATAGACAGAATATTCCATATTTACTCATACAACAGGTCAAGAGAGAGCGAAAAATAAACAGGATTTGAACTTGCTTGCCTCAGATCAAGAATAATTAGAATCATCATCAACATACAGTGAAGTTACGATTCAATGAGTCATGAGTGCGATATGCAGTAAAACAGGATAATAACGATAATGACATCAATTACAAGTAATTGGCCTCTGCTGTGTTAACATAAACAGCACACCCAATAGAGCACAATATCCAATAAATAAAGTAGAGCTACACAGGAGATGCAGTGCCAACGATATTGTACGTAGTATGATATCAAAATCGTAATAGAACTAGTTAATAAACGGAAACAAAATTACCAACTTGATCACCAAAAATGGCTGAAATGTTCAAAAAGAGCTACTCACCGATAAAGACGTTTTCGTTATGTCCGTTGTGTTTCCACTCTTAGTCGTTTGATACACTGCTCCTAGTAAGCTTACTAAAAGTCTCCTTTATTTAGGATTTACTGCATTTAAATAGTATAGCCATAATAACGTACAGTTTTATACCCTTATTTTAGTAATCATTACCTTATCATATGCGAACACGTTAGGTGCTGTACAACAAGTTACTGTATTCTTATATACATAACAATGTCCTGTCAACGATTGACGATTTTATCATTGACAGTTGCAAATGTAAAGAGATGTGGACAGTTTTTCATGTATACTGCATTAAAAGCACATAATTATACATACAAATACTGCCCATTTGATAATTAAAAATAGAAAATGTCACGCCTTAACTGCTAAAATGTCACTTTTGTCTTCATTTTAATTTTCATCTATTGAGCCAAGAAACCCGGTACCGAACTGGTATACAGTAAATTAGTTCATCAATACCTTTTTCAGATTTTTAATGTAGCCCATGGGATTGTATTCATTGGCCATGATAGGTGACTGACAAGGGAAAATTATTATAATCTTTTGGGAGGTTTAATCATTGTACCATAACATGTTTGCATAAGGTTTTACAAATTACCATCCCTTCTCGTGATACAGTCCATTATTACTACAACGACGACAGGGACCACCCTGATTATCAATTGACAATAAGCCGGGTTGAAAAAAGAATTTTGAAAAATAACTCGCTTATTGTTCGTCCCTTCCATACTGTACAGTGCATTGCATGGTACTACTTTAAATAACAGAAATATTGGCTGTCAGTATTGGACGTAGTTATAAGAAGTAGAAAAAATTCTTAGTCCAATAACTTTTCATCGTTAACGATGACTGCTGAGTAGCTGTACTGATTGTAATATCGATAGTATGCAGGTACATCGACACTGATCGGCTCCATAGTAATATCTATAATAAGCCAAAATGGTATAAACTCTAAAATAATGGCCTTACGCTGCCATGAGATTTCTGAGTTTAACCCTGTGCACTTTGTGAACTTAATGATACACCTACGCTATTATAATTTTAATTGACCTTAAAAATGCGCAACATCACTCGAAAAGAGAAGACATGTTTACAATTTTATAGCTCCTCCTACCTTTAACTCATGTGATAGTAACAATTTACATTCACTTTTTGCCTGCAAGTTAGTTAATCAACACTATCTACAATCGATAGCATGTGGCACGAGTTCTGGTATTAGTGATATATCACATTGGGCGTTGCTGTAGCGTTTCGCCTAAGGGTCATATTGCAGATACTGCTTTGCTACTATTCTTATTAAGGTTAAACATGATTAAAGTCTTATTAGAGCACTGGAAGATCAACTTTACGCGCTACTTTATAGCAGTCTTGGATTTTAAAGGATTGAGGATACTCTACCTACAGTAATGCTTAAATAAGAATCAAATCGAGTCGAGATCGAGCCGTAAACAAACCTACACGGCTGTCGCTGTGATGAATATTAGAGTATTTACCGCTATGATCGTTAATTTATTAATTGATTAGTTAAAATACTTTAATTTCAAGTAAGATCTGCTTGTAAAATCAGTTCAATAACATCAGTACATTTGATATTTGGGTTCTGTGTCATTGCAGGTTTGGAAGTTTTGCAAATGTAAACGACACGCCCGCATCGTGTATATTGGGTGTCGTTTACCTTGTAGTAGTTTACATTTTGAAATGATGCTGGCATTACTTATATACATGAACTATGAAATCGAATTCTAGTCAGTCTTTACTCTATGATACTGCTATACAGTAACATGATCAAAGTGAGTCAAGCTATCGTTCGGAGTTATCCTAACTTGTGATCGTCACTGGGAACAGGATAGTGAGGATAGACTTTGTAGGTTAAACGGCATTGGCATCTTGTACTTACATACTTAAACAAGACCATCAGCAACAACGATCATAACAATATGAATAATTAATCATAATAACTGGTCAAATATTGCACGGACTCTTTATCCGTGTATTTATCATAAGTATTGACGATTCTCATAACTACTCTTACTATAAACGTTCAGTGAGCAAACTATTACTTCGGCCAATTTTACAAACACAATTAACGACTTTATCGAATTAGCGAATGATGATTAATAGAAGCGTATATAATGATAAGATTCATGGAATCCTTTTAAATAGATCTTTATGCCGAATTCAGTATTTTAAAAGTGGATTTTACTACTGATCGACACTGCACTACTTCTATTTACAAAACTTTAAAATTGCCTTCATTGCAATTTGAAATCTCATCATCAAAAATGTACTGTATCTACGTGCTTATGCAAGGCAACAGATTGTGCGACATGCCCAAGGTAAGATGTTAAAGCGAGCTCATTGTCAACAAATTTGCTGCTTGTATGTAGATTACTTCTAGTTGCTGATGGGGTTTACAGCTTTTACTGGCAATATTGCTTGGTAATGCGAGCATATTAACTTGAATGATTGAGCAAAGTCGGTACCAGTATCTCACATTTATTCGATACTCCACGAGCTGAATAAACTGAATTCAACCTCCACACAGTAACCCTTTATTTTACGTTATAAAATTGAGGGAAATGTTTAATATTTACGAACTGGCTATAAAGAACATCTTTACTCTAAGATAAATTAGAAGCAGTTTTCATGAATAACAATTTATTATGGCAAGTATATTAAGCATTTATGCGGTAACTTGGGCTAATAAGCTAAGCGCCGTCTCTCTATGTAAAAGGCAATATCGTATGCATTTCTGACGTAATAATAATAGTTTCTACATACATTAGAAAGAGCAAAATGGAATAAAACCGTTCATCTCTTCCAAAACAATATCATGCGGCATTGATAATATTAATAATAATATATAAGGGAATAATCTTACTCTTGGATTGTATTTATACTTCTATTTGTAATACAGAAAGTCAGCTTCAACCACGACAATCAATTACAGATACGGTGTATAGAAGCATTCGCTAACTCGATCACAGTTTAAATTGATATAGAAAATTTCTTCTACCTTACTTAATGATTTCCATTAAGTCCTGCTTTCTGAAAGCAACATTGAGAAAAGCAATTGATTTTGTTAGCATTTAGCCCGATATACTAAAAGCGATTAATAACAGTGAGAAGTTTATTTTTGTAGTAAATATGTATTAACTATTTTATTCGTCTAACGTAAAATGTATATCAACATAGGATGTATCCATAAAATTTTAATCAACTCCAAAGAACTGATACTTGAATAATAAATAAATTTATTATTGATCTAATTTATAACGACACATTCCTGCATATGGGTATATGCATCCTCGCAGTTCGGTGCTTCATTTCAATAGTACTGGTACTACTCTACTATAGCTTAGTTTATAATCTATACTACTAGATCAAAATTTATTCCAGTTATATTTACATATATACCTTACTCTCTGCTTTAACCAGAATATCCACAATTTCAGATCGGCCTACTTCTACGGCCATATCGTGCGCTTTTTGACCTCCCTATTTAAAATAATTGAAAAGCTTCAATACCACATATTTGCAGATTCTGCTACTTTACGTATAAATAAAATAACTAAATACGGATACAGTACAGCTAAAATTACATTATATCTTGCCTATTCATTTAGCTAGCATAATATTGCCAAAGCTCTAAGAATTATATGTAAAGTAACTAGACTTATCATGCAGTTCTTAGAATTAATCTACCTTGCTAACTGCATTTAGACTTGCATTATTTCTTAAAAGGAGACGAACACAATCGATGTGCCCTTCCCATACTGCTAGATGAAGAGGCGTATAACCATCCTATCAAAAATTAACGCAAGATAATGCCACATTTAATACGATTGTTGTTATTTATCTCCTCTTTAGTCAAGCAGTAAAATACTCGCCCACTACTAAAACATTATGCTACGTAGTATACAATACTGTAATTATGGGATTTTTTTATAAATTATAACTAGAATGTAATATGTAGACGATAGTGAAGTAGTAATCTCATTTTCTCATATAGGTTAAATAAACTATAAAGCCTTGCAAGGCCTACGGAAAATGAGAGGATGTTGTAACTAAATCGTAAGCATCATTCTACCATACATACATTATCTCTGGCATCAACATCAACTTTCTGATTCAAGAGCCATTCTAAGACATCTTTATTGCCTTCAACTGCAGCAAAATGACTTGGCTGATAGTGAAACTAATCAGTAAAATATGAGAAAAATAATATAAAAATTTCTTTAAAATTTACTATTGTTACGATTGGCAACCACATCTATAAGTTTTTAGGAAAATGTTTGAGGTAATTAAATAGTCATACATTTAAAACTTTTTATCAGATAATTTCACATACCCATCCTGGTTGCTTTAGTGCATCAGGATTTCCAGAATAGCGATATAGAATTTAAAAAATTTTTAAGTTACCCAACGATGATGCTTGATGCAAAGAACAATCCTCTATCGCCTGAAATATAACAATTATTGTCATAATTATCATATGGAAAAATTCTATTATCATCTACACTGTTTACGCCATTTAAATGAAGTTACCCATTTACTCTACGATATCAGAACGTTATTGAATATTATAATTTTAATAACATTTATCTATTACTACACTATTATCAACTCTAGCCATTCTCAGCTATGATAATAAATATGTGAACGGTATAGATTACATCGAACCTATCCATTGAAAATGTTATTACTGGATGGTGATAATTTCAGATTGTAGCAGTGACATCGATCATAAGTATCAGAATATTCACTGTGCAATGAAGTAATTTTATAACTCTGAGGGTAATAACGAATAATCCTAAGCAAAATATAAGTAAATTTGTGAATTCTATAAATTTTACTATTAATAGTCTTTTCTCTAGTTCACAACTGATGATTTATGATATGCATATATGTCATACTGAGACAGCAGCACTTGTACACAGGGCAATACTAATACTGGATATTTTGAAAAATATAACTCTACTGTAGATGACGATCTTGAATGATAAATTTTGTATGCTGTCTTCTTGTCCTTCACATTTAAAGCATTCTATAACCATACTAATTGCATTGAACCATTAACGATATCAGCGCTATGAGTAGTGTAAGCTACGTTACGTAATAGTTACACGAATTAATACGGTTAACTAGCCAGTATAATAATATTTATTGTATACTATTAATCAGATAAATAGTAATTCTGAATGCAATAGTATTAATAACAGTTTATGTTCTATCAATCTAAAGATATGATATTATATTTAGTTTGATGTCATAATTGACTCATGTATTTGGTCAAATTTCTAAGTCAATTGGCAAATTGAGAAACCTTAAAGAAAATTTCAACTAAATTGAACTGGTATCCGCTTAAATATATAGCAGCTATACCTACATTTTCATATAAGGGATCTGCGCCATTTTTCAGTAGTAGCTCAACTCCTACTGTATCATCTTCATACACACATTTTTGTAAGGCACTGTTGTTGTTAGCATACTATCACCATATGAACGCAAAATAAGAGAATTAGAATTATTCAATTTTTTATATTTTACATATAATGATAGCGACGAAAAAGAATGAGTAATTATTTTTATACATCATATAAATTCAAACATAGCATTACATAGATCTTTAAAGAAAGCAATATCTTCCTTTTGAGCTGCTGTAAAAATTTCACTTGCATCTGGTTGCTTTCCATTCTTAAGAAAAAGTGAATGAAAATTAGGCAACCCGTAAATTAGCATCTACAATCCTTGGCAAACTGACAATTTACATGTCAAGTACGTATATCATTTTCTGTGAGTTAAGGGTGACACATATCACATTATACTCTCAGCGAGCAATTTAAAATTATTCCGTAGAAAAACTACGTCACAGTATCAAAGAGAACAATATCAAAAATTAATACTACAGCCTACGCATAGTCTTGTAATCTATTCGGTGAAAGATCTTCACGTATTCCTTTTCAACATATGCCATTTTTACGGAGAAAAACCGAAACAAGATATGCGCGTATATGCTAGTATAATATATGAGTATATGTGCATGGTACATTCTGTTGTAAATTAAGTTTATCATGCGTTTTTTATAGATATTTTGTTTGTAATATAGGAATATACTACTTCCTTCTGGCTAAAGTTATTCTTTTATGGCTATCATTTGACAGCTAATTAAGCGATCATAATATTAACAGAATTTGACGTAGAGTTAATACTAATATTGTATTATACTAGGAACTCTTATCAAATAGAATATCCTAATGCCATAGCACATAAATAGAACTGGATGTGCAACTAACTATGTAGAAAATTAAAATCAATAGCGCTATTTCATTAAGAGCTTGCTTAACTATACGAATCGATGAAAACACTAATTAGCACACATAGATGCTACTATAAGCGTCGATCATGAAAACAATTAATTCTGTACTTTTGATAGAATGATTACTATAATTAGTATTAAAATTAATAAATAATCTATACTGCACACTAGTTGACTACACGATTTGGTAGGACATTATTTACTGACTGAACATCCTGAGGGCTCTCGGCAGTATATAGTAAACTACAGTAAAGTAATTAGCAATATTTATGCAGATTAAGCAAGAGCATGTAATGTTTACCTAAAGAATTAATGAAGAGACTGCATATTTATATGGTAATGACGCTGATCTTTTAACCGCGCATTAATAGGAAGCTACCCGAGTCAATTAAGGTCTACACAGTATTTTATTGTGTGTCTTGCTGACCTAGACGTATGTTACTCAATGATCAATTTGACTGTATGCAGTGTATTCAAAATTTTAAGAGTATAGTAGATTAAATATATAATAATGACAAGAACTTTTGAAGATAGAGTAATTAATATTTCCTTAGTAGACATCGAGAATAACAGTAATGAGAGACGTGAGAGATAAATGAAAAGTGATATTATCGACTAATTTGACGATCACTACTTAAGGGCCGTTGAATCACTTTCAGTGTACAGTAGTAGGAAGAGAAATTTTCTTTTTCTTTAGTCTGTGGTAAATCATGATAAACTTTAGGCCACATAGAAATCGAATAAACGATTTTTTCATATCACTAAGGCAATAAAATAAAAAGGTTTCTTCCATTGCTAAAGCAATAAAATCAAATTTCTTTTTATCTATATGACTGATTGATAATTTAGTACAATAACTATTGCATAACTAAATAATTTATATTCCTATATAGGTACTTTTCGTTCTATTCATTTGTTGTGCCGGATATTACAGAATATAAAGTAGAAAGGTCCGGTAAAATTGTCAATAAATTGACTTTGGCTATTAAAGCGAGTACAGTAGTGATCGGATGGCAAACCGTACGAAATATCATCACCGTCCTATTAACCAGAAACTACGGACAGATTACTGCTGCACTACGAGTATTTAACGAATTTTAAGCTACAATTTAGACTTATGCAAAAAGTAAAAGAAAGATGAGTATGGAATAGAAACGAGGTAAACGACCATCAATTAGCAATATGATTATGGTACTCTTCCTCAGTGCAGTCGATGTAGATTGGAAGTATAACTAACGAAAGAGGGAACCATGCTGTGCTAATATATCTAGAGGTGTTGTAGTTAAAAACAAATCCATTTATTGTTAATCTACATGTTACATAAACGGACGATTAAAAAGACTCGATACCCAACACCTGTTTTCACTTTATATCTGGTTTGGAACTTACCGTAGCGTTTGTGTTTGAAATGGTTCGCATATTTAACGTTCTATTCGGGTGACAAAGAAGCATGAAACAGTCCAACGCAGAGAAGATTAGCTCACAGCTAAAGGTGGGAAGGAAAAAAATGGGGTGTTAATTCAACAGTTACAACGTTGTAACCGTATAATATTATTGGCTGTTAATAAACGATAAATATATGCATCATAAACATAATTGGAGTTACTTCCAAATTGTACGATATACAAATGGATATTGTTCTAGCGACAATGATGTCTAATAGTTAGATTCTGGTGCATTAAGTATAAGAGTAAAGTTGGACAGAGCATGAAGAGTAAATAGAGAACATATCCATGTTGTGAGTTGTATTATTTTACAGCTACTAAACTGTTATTGGACCAATTAACTTATCCAAATAAGAATATCAATTCAATTGCGAATAAATCTTTACCAAGCTTAATCTATTGACCAATATTCTTGTCGCTATGTCTGATCAATGATTTACTCTATGTTATTAATAGTTGCCAATGTAAAGAGCTTGGAGTAGCTGATTCTGAGTTCTATGATACAGTTTAAAACAAAATGCAGCCATCCAGCTGGCTAAAATTAGAAATTGTCACGCTTTGACTGTTAACAACAACATAATGTCATCTTTTTTATTTTTTGTCTTTCTTCATTTGTGTTATCATGTAATAAGAACTTTACAAGGATGTAAACAACTCAGTGGCGACGTAAATTACAATAAAATGATAGACTGATTACTTTTCCAATCTGAAATATAATGCTGGTACCAATCAGGTTAGCGCATTGTATTTCAAAAGAAGGTAAACGTATTGTGCTGTAGGTTGTAAAAGCAATCAGTCTTTTATTATTTTATTGTAACTGATGAATATGTGATTCTATTTACTTCTAATAATCGCCAAGACTTCTTCTACCTTAATGTCATGTGGTTATATTATAACATGAACAATAAACGAAACTCCCTCCTTCAAGAATTACTACTTAATGTCCATTTTTCAAAAGTAACCTTTTTCGCCGTTCATCAGTCGCGATAGTTTCTATCTTTATCTTTTTATTGGAAAAATAATGTATCTCTGTTATGGACTACCTTTCCAGTAATGTCGATATTAAATGGTAGCTTTCATCTTCTTGCTTTTTAAATGCTGACGTTTACATATCCTTCAATGATTAGATGGTCTGTAGATTTATCTAGCTGCATGCATTCGTACACTGTCGGGTTGCCATTTACAAACTGTGACTATTACATCAGTAATGTTATGATGTGTATGCTCACAGTAGTTCTCTTAGCAATAGTAATAATGAATGGCAGTAGTTTAGCTATTCGAAGATAAATATCTGTGTTATAATACTAAAGGTTGCTACATTAAAAATTTCATTTTAATTTTGAATCATGCCTCGTATAGTTTAAGTAAAGGCAAGACTTTAACTGAGTTCATAATGTACTCGAAATATTTCGAGTGAGATATCATGATAGGATTACTTGCTTTACCCTAACTTGATTTATTTCACTTTATTTTTGAAGTTTTTGCATATAAAATAGTAACGGAAAAAATTAAATCGTAGGTGAGCTTCTATTTCGCTTTCTGTTATAGTAAATTCTTCCTTACAGTGCAATTATTTAGCAAAATTGTACAAGACGTGTTGACTACTTATCTACGAAACGATAATAGAGATGAGTAGTCTGTCAGACAGATCAAGATGGAATAATTATTTAGATTTTCCGCTTGCGATTAACATAGGTAGTCGGAACAATCTCATACCCCTATTAAAGACTGAATATCTTTTCATAGTGTTGCCTTATTATAGCAGTGTTGAATAGTAGAAATAAAGCTAAATTAACAATAAACTACAAATTATTACTATCCACAATTTTATTTACGTATGTATGCTCTACATGCACACATTAACCGCTAAAAGAGAATACAGCAATACAGTAGGCCATGGAATTACTTTTCGTCAATCAATTGCAGTATAAGTACACTATGACTACTAGTGCTTTAAGTAAGTAGAATATTTTACTTTTCTATCAATTCAACAATCAAAGACATAATGAGACTACGAGAATTATTTGCAGACTGTTATGATGATATAGCACTTGCCTATACTAGTGCGATTTTTACCCTATCATCAGGCCAGTCAAAAATGAAGAACAACTGTTGCATTACCTGTTGGTCTATTTGAGTAACAAATAGTAGCTTTTAGACCATATTTAACATACTAATAGAGTATTACTTTTGTAGAAACAGTAAGGAATCATGCAAATCGGCAGACAAGGTGTCTCTGATGGCGCGCAATCGTCCATGTTTCCCTTCAACGTAGTTACGACGGTTATGGAAAACGGCACCCGAATTTGAAATATTGTATATGCGGTATATACTTGAATATTTACAAATAGTCAGGTATCTATGCTTATACTATACTGTATCAGGATTATTGCGAAATTTAATTCGATTATATCATGTAATATGAGAAGAAAATTGGGAAGACAATTCCATATATATTAGATAGACAGTATAATAACTTGCATAATCAATGTCAATGTCAAGGTCTATAATTTGATCTAATCTATGCGTATATGCGTAGATTAATGATAATTATAAATAATTCATATTCAACTGCTTGTCGGTCAATAATGCAATAGCGCATTATACGTACATATGTAGTATGTACAGTATATGGTAAAAGTTGACAGTACTAAAGACTCATAAAGGTAATAAGCAAACCTCTTTGATGATCGATCGGGAGTAAGTCAAGCTACTTCTTTAACAAACCTTAAATTAATAGATTTAAATTCTGCGATCAATTATATGTAGCTACATGAGTACTTTTCAATAAATTGCCACTGGAATAATAAACTAATACTACAATGAGGCAATAAAAGCAAGATCGTTATAGATGATAAAGACAAACGAACATTAGTTAAACACAAAACAGGTATAATTATCCCTGGTTAACATTTTTTTTATAGCTACTTACTAAGACATAAATACCGAACGTAGTTAAAACCAATTTGAAATGAACTATTTGAAATTTTACTTTAACCCAACAGATAGTTATGTTATCATCAGACATTGAAGTCGATAAATGTACTGCCAGTTTCTTATAAAGGCCTTAGTGAATCACTTCAACTTAGTAATATCATCATCAATATTTCAAATCAATGCTAGCTGGCATAGAACTTTTCACACTTAAATAATTTCATTGAGCTCGTTAATTAAGAACACTATTAATACTTTATACTTACTAATAAACACCTTTCAAGTAAGTAAAACTTTAGCATCAAATATTAATTCTACCGAATTCCATCCGTAAGTTAAATACTTCAATTGATCTAAAACTACTTCTCTTTAATTATAATGTAATCTAACATGATTGATTTCAATTCATGCATATTGTACCGCTTACTGTAATTTATACTAAAGAAAAGTCTTGGAAATACTTATTTCTTACTGTAAACTAATAGATTGTAAATTGTAAGATCAAACGGACACAGTTACAATAATATGCTAATACTACAATGACGCAACATAGCCAAGATTGCTGCACATAACAAGGACAAATAAAGATTAGTTAAACCCAAAACAGGTACAGTTATCTCTGTCATTTCATTTATTACCACTTGTTAAGATATAAAACCATATTTGAACGAATTATTTCAATTCTTACTTGACCAAAACAGATACCTTTATTGTCATCAAACAATGACTTAGATAAATGCTGTACATTCCCAATTTATTACATAGACTTAGTAAATCGTCTAAATTTGTATTATCAGGAGAATATTTCAAACCAATGCTAGCGGGCATAGAGCTCCTCTTAGGTAAATAAATCCACTGAATTAATTAACAACACCATTAATAGACCTACTAATAAACACGTTTTAAGCATATGAAACTCGAACATAGAATATTGAATCCAGCGTACTCCATCCATAAAGTGAAGCAACAACAACAATATTTATCACTATCTTGTTGATCATACAAAGACAGTATGCCCACAGCTCAATAGAAAACTGTATGGAAAAGATTTTATAATACAACAACACCATGATTTAAGCGTATAAGTGAAACAACTTTCCGTATATTCTTCTATTCCAAAGAACAGAGGCCAGCTTTGTATGTATTTTACAACTGATAGAGCCAGCAGTACACAGGATTACTTAATTTGAACTAAAAATGATCTTTAATCATGGATCCACTCTCCATGAATTGGTTACCGTAAATCAATCAAATAAGTTAGAACATCTTGGTATACAAAAGATGTTCGAGCCACATGCTAGTTACTGTAATAAAGAGTTTCAATATCCTATTTTAAGTAGAAATGATATAGAGCATAAAGAGCATTCATATCAGTTTTAAATATTTCAATTTCTATCGTGATGACTTTACTCTACTTCAATCTTGATGAAATATGGGCAAGTCCTAATAATTAAGTGAAGACTTATTAAAGCTGCAGATATCTAGGTTTTCAGATTCAAGTGTCATTAAAGCGACGAAGAAGAGTACTTACATATAGAGCCAATTTACTTACAGTTAACAATCTTCAGTAAGATAGTGATGCAAAATAGTAGATGAATCTATAATTTATATTTAGGAATTTGCTCGTTCGACCATGATTAGAATTAGTCCCCAGATAGCCATTCTTACATCTATTGTTAAAACTCTTTCTTGTAAGGCTATTTACTGGAGAGAAATTTTATATTGCAGTTTCATTACAAGATATAGAAATCTTTCACTTGGAAAAGGATGCACTTGTATTGTAGTATCATGCGTGTAATAAGCAATAAAAGTGCGAGTAATAGAAACTTTGTTGCAAGTTATTCACAGTAACATTGCAATGGTGTATCCTCCTTTAAAGCACATCCCATGTACAATTACTGTGCCAGTCGTCATTATTAGTCATTGATACTTAAGTGTTAAATAGCTCCATTACTAGTGTATATATATGTTATGGTATATATAAATAAAATTGCAAACTTTATCATTTTTAGATCGGAAGGGCCCTCGGTCAATGAAGTACATTGATTTGGTTGGCTTTATGATAAAATGATAAACTGTCTATCTCCATCTTGACTTATTCAAGGATAAACAAATGAATTTCTGTATCAACACAAGTCATTTACACAAAGGGTGCATAGGTGATATTGACTTCCTGGCCTAAAGCATTGACAGCCACCGCCTTTAGTTTGACAGTTGGGGTTAAATCTCTGGATATGGCTGATCTAGCCAATAAGAGTAGTTTATACTGTTGACCTTTTTTAACAATGTCGTGTTCAGCCAATGAACCGTCAATTTCTTTCTCGGAATAAATGTGCTTGGGTTGAGGTGGTATGAATAAATGGAAGCGTGGGTTGTTCATGGGTTTAATTTTAGCAGTCTTGGCTAAGATTCCAACATAGGCATCATCGACTGTCTTGAGTAATGTGACATTGGCAATAGCGCTGACTAAATCGCGTAAGACGCTAAAGCTCATAACATAAGCGAAACCAGAACAAAAATGAGGAAATAACTTTTCTTTATAATCCGATTTAGGCACGTAGTACTTGTGCTTGGGATCGCGTACGACTCTGTAAGCACTCCAATCTTGATCAACGCGACCAATCCAAAAGCGATGGCTATTAGCGATGTATAAATGCGCCATATAATCGAAAAATCGAGGCTGATTTAAGAATACATCATCGTCTCCTTTAAAGTAGTAAACAGGCTGGCAACGTGTTAGAGCCCAACGCATAGCCAATAATGTTTTATGGGTTAAATTACGCATATTATCATAGAAATCGCCTAAGATCATATCTCCATATTGGCGTGATTCGTCTTCGATTTTTTGATCGGCTTTAGCATCACCACTACGCCCGAGAATAAAGAGTAAACGCCATGCGTAAGGTGATTTCATCATTTCGATGTAGTCACCGCCGTGGCCCCATGATTTGCGGATAGCATTGCGTCTTTCCAATTGGCCAACACGCGAATTAATAATCAATAGGATAAATGCTCGAGTTTGGCAAGGTTTAGCGCTAGGACGCTTGGAGAAATTAGGTAGTGGAGTCTTTCTTAACTTGTCACTTATGAGTTCAAGTCGAACAGGATGGAAAATGACATTTTTAGGAATCTTGACAGGATCATGTTTTAATTCTGCTGGATCGCGAACGGCTTGAAAACCATTGCTATCTATCAATTGGGATAAACTACGTTCAGGCTTATAGGACTCGTCATCGTTTGCACGATGGACATAGACATAGACTAAGGCATTGACTATAAAACCGGCCAAGATTACAATTAAACGCGTCTTAAAATTAGCCATTATTCCATCAATGACAGCATCACCAGTGGGTAAAAGAAGATTACTACTAAGCGTTGTAATGGCAACGTTTACTTTCCACACCTAAGTCGTGGACGATTCAATTGGCATTATCACTAAATTGTTGATGGCTTGCTTTGCCAATGTAAATCACACCAAATACGCGTGTCCAATTTGCTAATCTCGATTCTCCAATAACCTAAATCCACTAAAGGAATGCAGTTTTCAAGTCGATTAATTCAATCGATGATCAGTCGTAAGAGCTCGGCTAGAATCGTTTGGACGTCCATGTCCAGTAGAAAGGAATTGGATCTCCACCAACAACTTGATCGCGGAATGCCTTGCCCTTCGTTGCCAACTACAACAGCCGGTGGTGGGTATTAATTCATTATGGTGGGCTGCTGTCCTATACTGTACAGTATGACGACAGCCCCTCTCTCGCAGCAGTCCCGGTGTGATCTGTATATTCGTCAGTCCGAAACTCGAGCTGTCCCATGTCCAGTTGTCCATGGCAGACTCGTTGTCGTACTGGACGACAATAGCGTTGCGGTCCAATGGATTGTTGAAACGATTTTTCTATCCATTTCTCTTTCTCTCTGCTGTCTCTACAACACTCCGACAGTACAGTACCCTTGTAAAAATATTTATGCACTACTAGGCAGGGCTGCTGTCTTGATGCTTTTAATGTGGACTCCATATCACCGCAGCTTCTACCGCTAATCCTCTATGGTTTCCACCACAGAAGCAGCGGTGGATTGACTTTGTAACACTAGTGTATCGTCTGACGTAAAACTATTGTCGCCATTCTGTCGCCATACCTACAGTACTCAGGACTGTGGCATTGAATTTGCACTCTGATAGGCGTCGGCTCGAAATTTTTCATTCAGTCACTGCAACTAATCGATTGGCAGACATACTAGATTTACAGTACCAGTCCACCACAGTGCAAAGTATTGTCGCTCAAGAAAGAGCGACAACATTTGAACGCCAGACCTGAACAGTACCTCCAGTACTATTGCAGCCAGGGGTCTTGCGTGTACTGTACTGTACGGCGCATGCACACCATTAGCACGCGTGCAACGTGAGTGTCTTGTACGCTTGCGCACAAGGCCCTAGTACCCAGGGATGGCTCCGTACTGTAGGGTACGGATGGCCAGCATGAAGGACTATCCAACAGACAGCCTGTGGCCAAAGGCTACTTATTGGCATCAATGTCTGTCTACTTTCCATAGTAATAGACTGGCACTAGGCTGTCAAATAGACTATTAGTAGGCAAAATCCAAGCACACCACTGGTACTGGGATCCATCTTCTAATGGTGGCATCGTTCTCCATTCCATGCAATATTGATGCGTTGCTGTTGCTATTCCATGTGCAATTATTGGAGTGATTTATCCGATTGCGGGCAACACGTCGATTAGAAGCACTGAAGACAGAGAGATCAGAAGATTGGATTGAAAATTCAATCTTGCAGGAGTGTAGTTGGAGCAGTAATAATCGCTGAACTATTAGCAATACCTTTGTAGGAGTCTTGCATTAACAACAGAAAGGAGGTGGTCCTGGTCAAAATCGATCGCTTCCATCATGCTTTCAACACTCTATTCTACGCTCTACTGTCGTCCACAAATTGCTCGTCCAATGCTAATGGCGGCGTATTCGTTACAAACTCGAAATGCTATGACATCGCCAAGTCGTAAGCCTCGAATTGATCGCAAAACGATGCAACGAATTGATAGAAATCGCCAGAAATTAGAAACATTAAGGGCAGCTTATGAAGATGATCTAAGTCAAATTTTAACTACATCCAATGTCTACAATGCAGCCTTGTTCGATTTACCCATTCGAATGGGTCGACCAATTAAACCTGAAGTTTTACCGCCTCGAGCTGCTGGAAATATCGAGCTATTAAAAATTCCCAATTTCTTTCACTTAACACCTCAAAAAGTGCGACGTGATACCGATGCTTTAAAAGCACTATGCAATGCGTGGCCGAGCAAGATCAAGCGTAGACCTATACGCATTTATTCACGCAATTATTTGTACGCAGGGCCTTCTGTGGCTCATCCTAAATCCCACTTTGTCAAATTGGAGGTAAAGCATTTCAATCAATATTGATAAAAAAAAAATAATAATAATACATCACTTTTACTGCTGTACGAGAGTCTACATCACCATTGGAAGCTACCCTAGTTGCGCTAAAGAAGCTATACTTGTATCAGGACATTCCGTTACTGACACGACACTTTTCCTTTCCTACTTTTGCTAGGTCAATATCAACGATCTACCACTCAATGAATCTGCAAGAAAACGATTGATGGCTCTTGCAGGAAATTACTATGATGCAGAGACCAACTTGCTAACGCTAGTAGGCAATAAATGTCCAACTAGAAAACAAAATAGAGAGTATGTAATGTATTTATTAACAGCTTTAATACTAGAGTCTAAAAAATGCTAATAATAAAAAATACTTTATATATTGTTGCACATGACGATCATTAAAGATGATCTACGTATGAATAACTGCTTGAAACAAGTCTAAAATATGAAATGGGATAGGCATGCCCGTGTAAAACCAGTGATATCATGCATTATTTTATATACGTAGCTTTGCAATAGATCGTAAGGATAAATCAAAGTCCAACATTAATGTATTACTAAAGTGAAGATTACATCGCTGAAGGCGATACAATGGCTTGCTGAAATGATATATCTTTATCGCTTGTCAATATCCATCAATCGCCGTTAAATTCTTATTGATAATGCTGTCAAGAATGCTTCTTGTAAATTGATTAAGCTTGTCGTATTTAGTGTACGCATTCCTATCCAACGAACGAAGCACATTACTTTTACCTGATACAGATCCAGTATACTGTATTAATTCTAGATTATGTAGCTTTTCTATTTCAATATGATAATGGTGGCTCAATGAAATACTTTTATCCTGGCAATGATGAAGTTAGACAGCAAAAGAACACGTTGTACAATTTTGCTACTAGGACAGCTTATCGTATTAAGCGGTCGGTATTAATAAATTGAATTTGAACTTGACAGATCTGCCACACTTCCAATATGAAATCGACAGCAGTCTATATCTCTAATATTTGAAGAAGCAAAAATAATGTAGTACTATTGATTGATCAATTAATAGGACAACTTATCCTATGATGTAGTATTATGAATAGATTAAATTCAAATTTTATAAAGGTCTTCACAGCGGTATTTCTAGAAATATACTGATTTGCCATACTTGTACAATGAAAGAAAGACGATAGATATTGTACTGCATTGCTTGGCATCAATGAATTGAATTTAAATTTTAGTAAGGTCATTACAGTAATATCCAAATCCACTGATCTACCATATTTCCATTATACTGTACTGTATATATGAAAGAAATCGACAGCAGTATCTTTACTGCTGTAAGAAGCAAAAATAACACATTGCAAATTGATTGATTATAACACGATAGATTATCGTATAATGCGGTATTTATTTAATGCAAATTGTACAAAGATCTTGACCGCAGTATAGAAATTAGCTAATATTTGGTACGCTTCCAATATGAATGATATCTACAGTACAGCTTTAGTAATATCTGTAATGCTAAAACTGCAAAATAACTCGTTATATATACAGTATAATTTACCTAATCATGCAACAAGCTATCGTATCATGCAGTATTAATCATAGACAGTACAAGCTAATCTAAACTATTATCTAGCACACCACCGAAATAGAAAAATTTATATCTATCTACATTAGTTGAAATAGTTAAAATTAACAAAACGATAAATCTCTATATTAATCTTAGCTACATGGTAATGCTTTTAGCTGCCAATGTTGCATAGAATTGAAAGTCTGCGATATGTAATTACTATACATGCTACTGTCATTGAAATCGGTGACATTTTCATTAAAAGAAAATACTGTAACAATTTTTATACCAATCAGCCAAGAGTAAAACTCAAAATTGGTAACAGCTTATTTAATTTAATTTTCTATTAGCTAAATTTTTGCTAAGCTGAGTTAGTTAATCCTATGTAGTCTTTAGCATAATAAATTAATATTGCAGTTACCAACTAGCAAGCGTTAAGCCATTCATTATTCTCATCTCATTTATTTAATGGAATTTTTTGTGACATTTTTAGCCGGCTGAGTTAGTTACAATAGACAGTAATGTCAATACAAGGTACCTATTTCGCTTTAGCAAAGTAAATTAATGTTATATTTTCGTAGTTAGCCAAGAGTAAAATCCTAAATTAAAACAGTATTACAATTAATCACTTGTAAAACCATACATAATTATCATTTCACATCTTTAAATTGAAATCTTTTTCCATTTTTGCATGGCTGAGTTAGTCAATCTTAATCATTGCATTATGAACAGGTGCCTAAATTATTTTTTTAAGATCAATTATAAAGCTTTTTGCCTTTGAACGGAATTATCTGAAATCACTTAGCGACTCAAATCTCTCTGTAAAACAAGCCATAAAGATAGAGTATTTCATTTACTAAGTTTACAATTATTATTACATAGGAGTATGATAGACTGCTATAATTTTACGTTAATCCTTCTCTTACATTCTACCTCCATTCTGTACTTATACGTCACCTACCATATAATTACATACACTGATTTACGGTTACAGATTTGATATTGACTACTTACTAAATCTGCCTTATCTTTATTACGTTACAGTTTCCTAATAAACTTTACATTATTTTATACGCTATACAAGATTGATTACTTAATTCAAGCAGTATTATGAACTACGAACCACATACATAATAATGATGTAATTCCCAAATTTTCTTAATAGATACCTATATTTATATAATTACTTCACATTTTAGTCGGTAATGTTTATATAATTTTATTTACGAATCATATACGATTAACCAGCAGACACCACTCGAAAGAAAACAATATTGAAGATAAATACAATACAATAAAAAACCATATACTATATATGTGTTCAATATATATACATAATATCATTGGACTAAACATAAGAACGACTTACGATATTTTAATAAATTTTTATCACTTAAAATGTTGTACTGTACTGTACAGTACAAACTTTTCGCTTGCACGTTTCCAGTAATGTATTGCCTCCGACTAAATACGATTATTATCAGCAACGTTCAATCATAGATTCGTTACCGTTGCTGTTATAATTTTAAAGTACAGGGTATATGCAGTATGATAATGATAGTATGAAAGAACTATAAAAAATAGATTCAGTTCCAGCAGAAAGTCAGAGCAAAAAAATATTTAGATACATTATAGGAAAAGTTGTTATGTTAACATAAATCAACAAAGAAATTAAATGAATCTTTAATCAATGACCGCGAGATTATTAACAAAGCAACAAAGACTAGGTCTACGCAACGTTTGATTATGACTATAAATGTTACATCAGAAACCTCGTATTACATAGATGAACATCCTTCCCCAAGTGCACACAACTAATTTCGCTGACTTTTTCTAAAGCGTCTCACAACGAAGTATATATTTAACTATGTCGTAAAATAGAATATTACGTTCACACTAAATCAAGCCACCAAAGGTTACACAATTAAAACCGTTCAATGATAAAATAGTAATTCTTAACATTTCGACGGAGGTACGGTAACTGATGTAATTGTATTTCTAAAATAGATTAACATCATAGTTGAGATATATATAAGGTTATAATACGACTGGCAGATCATAGAAATCCATACAAAAATAATTCTTTTGATTGTGCCAATTAATCATTAGTAAAATTGAGATATCGATAAATATAATATCAATATACTTGGATATATCGAACAGCATTAACAAATATCTCAATTAAATTAAATATATACATAGTACCCATCTGCAAGAATTGACAATTCCACTAACCTTACAATACAAGTAGAACATATATCAACATAACAATAAACCAAGATTATTAGTAGATATATAACGAAAAAAGTTAAATTGTAACAATTAGAAACTTATAAACTCAATTCCCTGCATGAATAAAGATACTTAGAGAAGTAGCTTTAAAATAACATAAATTTATTCAAGTAAAATACATAACCCACAGCATGTATTAGTGCATACAAAGCCAGTTTGAACTTTATGTTTGTCTGATAGTCGCACCTGAACACAATTTATCTATTGAAAATAATATTGTAAAATAAATCTTGTATTTATATACTAAGTATACTCTCGTCTCTTATTGTAATCCATAACTTGTGTATGTTATCATTCCGAAATTTCGATCAGAAAACTTTACGACTGCACTCCATGACGCTGCTTCAACTGCCTTAACTTAATTTCAAGCTTCGTACGCTCCTTCATAATCTACAGGAATGTGATCAAAATACTGTAAATAAATAATATTACTACTATTCGAATAACACCCAACAATTTTTTTGGCGACAAATGTAATTTTAATGCACATACCGTTTTCAGTTGCATTTCTAAATCAGCATTCATACGACTTAAGAGCAAATTATTTTCCTTTAACGCCTGCATATCATCTCCGTGTTCAGTCGAATTTCTCCTGTATTGTGAAGTAAGTCAGATAATACTTCATAAAGCCTGATAAATGAAACGAATTATTGCCTTTACAACTTACAGGTTCACTTCAGCAGCTGTTTGTTTCTGTTTAGGTACCGGTGGAACAGCCGATTCCTTTTTGGTATTGTCTACCTCACTCACATTGACTTTTCCATCAACCTAGCGATATCAGTAAATGTTATACATACAAGTGTATACGATACACAATTACCATAATCATTATAAAATATTATTCCAGTATCAGAAGATTGAAGGATTTACCATGTCATTACTACTTTCGCTTTTCTCTTCATCCACCAATTTTTCCAATTTGACCTCTACGATAAAAATAGAGATATAAGCGATAACTTTCAATATATATTATATCAAGCTTTGAAGCAACCCACTTGAATATATAATTTTAAACACGAAATATTATAGCAAAATTAACGTAGTAAACTTACTGATAGAATCAACTGAGGTAGAAGTAGGTAATTTAGAAGTAGGTATTCCAGTATTCGTTCCTACCAGATCAAGCTAAAAGATACACGTTTTGCAATTACTCTTAAAGTTTAAAAACTTAACTCATCCTCTATTTAACATAAGACACGATAACAAGTAAATGACATTCTCTGTATTCCCTCTATTACCAAGTGTCACATCCACTATGAAAAATTAGTTCAATTTACGAACTGCAGTCTATAGAGGTACAGCGACACTTCCAGCTCTATACAACACTAACCTGATCTAAATTGAGTGACATAGACCGCCTATGACCTTTTTCAGTTGTAACAGTATTGATAGCAACCGCAATTTTTTCAGCTCTACTTTGCTTGTCAATGTTGTCGAAATTGGCAAAATTAGGCACTTCAGAAGTGATTTGATTTGCAGTAGAAACTTCTGATCGCTTGTCGATCTTTTCCTCAGTAATGCGGTGTTCTTCAGCTACAACTTCAGATACATTCGCCTATAACGATCACGATAAAATAACGTCTTATTTACAATAGAAGTAAAGCAAATTAAATTAAAAACTATCAATTTTAGCAACTTATTTAGTAACATAAGGTTTGTGTACTAATCAATAGCTTAGTATTCTTAGAATTTATGACATTCATCGGTAATGAATAAATTTAATTTATTGTAGAAGTCACATACGACATTGTTTGTAGTAGAAGCTTCCGCTAGTTTCTTATTAAGATTAGAAATTGGTAAAACGTTAAGGGATGAAGTACGTAGATTCGGAGAAATTCTCGGCCGTGGAGTTGCGGACTTCCCTCCCGTTACTGTAATCATTCAAAGATAAGTCATCTGGATATGCGCAAGCATTGAATAAAATGCGATCTTTAACGTACTAAGTAATCCTTCATACCTTTACTAGCAGACGCAGAAAGAATTTGTGATTTACTTGGAGGAGGAGCCAACTTAATTGCATCAGTTTTCTTTGATACCTTTCAATAAAAAGAAGATAACAATACGGTAAAAATGTACCTTTAACTTGAACAAAGACTGCAATACGCAACAATATGCAGCATTGAATTGCAACAGTGGCCCGAAAATCGGACTACTGTCAAGTCAGCGCATAGTGCAAGTCACTAATGTGCACTTATGCAGTATAGCAAAATGTATTCCACAAATAGAAACGTTATACTTACTTTTACAGATTCTGGAGTAGTGGCCTGAATGCTCTGCGGCTGCCCTTCTGATGGGGCTGGTAAATTTTGCTGCATAGACTGTGGTTGAGAAAGTGGCTGTGGCAATACTGACGGCTGTGGTTGCATTTGTGGTTCATTCGCCATGGCTGTAAATGCCGTAGGATCAGATAAATTTCTAAATCTACCATCAGTTCTTGTAACCTGAGGCTGCTTAAGAGGTCCAGAAATGGCATCCTAACGTAAAATTTAACGGATAATGCTTTCATATGTGATATTCATGAAAATGCCGATTAGCAAGGAATACATTTACCCTTATAATTAATTCAAAGGGCAAAATAATAATTATAATCAGTAGGACCTGTTACTACAAAGCATTCAGTATGCTATTCAGTAGTCTAACACGTTTGTATGCATCATATGTATTGAAATTTTGAGTTTACTTTCATAACAATTTTTTTTAATTGTTAAGGAATACCTCAGTATGCATTTGATCTACTGGTCGCTTGGCAGGTGAAGCCGATGACGAATCAATCCAATCACTCCCACTTTTAATATTAGGTGGTATCATTGCAGTAGCTGATGACCAACTAGGTGCCGGCATAGGCTGAGACTGTTCCGAAGCATTTTTAAACGGACTACCGAAAGCTTGAGATGTCTTGACAGGAGTAGTAGTTACTTGAGTATTTTTAATCGTAGCAATCGTAGTAGGTGTATTAGGCTGATTAGAAACTCGTGTAGTCTTTGCCGGTGTAGTGGAAACAGCAGCAGGGACTACAGATGATGGAGGTGGTGGACTATCAGATTGGATTGGTAACTCTAAAGCAAATGGATCAGCTAATAAAAGAATAAAGAATACATTCAGTGAATTCTTAAAACTTTAACGTTACTATTAGAAGGCAATTTGTCGAAGAATATTGCTACCTTCTCTTTCTAAAGCAGTCGGAAGTGTGTCCGGAACTTTAAGCCCATGCTTCCTGCATATCACCAAATGCATAGCAATACAAAATTCCGCTAAATTTAAAGCATTATCCATATTCACATCAGCCAACTTCCAAATTTTGCTCAATTCTTGTTTATCAAGTTTGGATTTTAAGAAATGATTTTTAGCAATTGCTCCAGAAACCAAACCCGTTTCGTCATCTTTTACTAACGTCAAAAATTGTTTCTCGTAAATATCACGTTGTTGCGATTTTATCTCCCATCTTGAATCATCGCGGTCTGCTTCTATCAATTTCGAGTTTTGGTTTGCGCTAGATGTTCGAGAGGTAGATTGAGAAATAGCGCCTTGTTGTTGCGTAACTGGTTGAGAGGATTCATTTTGAGACTGTTGAGTTTGATTCCCATTAGAAGAAGCAGTCAGTGGAAAATTTGCCCAACCTGGGTTCGCTTGTGAGGCTTGCGTAGAGTCAGATGATGCAAAATTAGCCCAATTACCTCCACTGTGTCCACTATTAGTAAAGATTTGACTATCAGTCATGGAACGAGAGGATTTAACCTCAATAGGAGACTGTGGAGGTGACATTGAAGGAGGCGAAGTCGTTTGTCCAGATCTTGATGAAAACGAAATATCGGTGCGCACAGAGGATGAAATAACTTGATCTGAACGTTTACCAGATGTTGGTGGTGGAGGAATTAATGGTGCGGGTCGAGCTTTATTAACAGGCTCACTATCCGTTTTATCTTGGGCTACTTAAATTCAACACCAAAAGTATTTTTAGAATCTTTACAAAGTAAATAAATGGGTTGATCATCCCGCAGTCTATCAGTAGCTAATCAATGTAAACTATTCATTATAACGTCTTTAAGCTACCACAACGGTACTCAATAACAACTTCTACAATCCAGCGATAGTCTAAATACAAACATTAATACATTGAAGTTCTTTTACCTTCGCTTAATACCGTTTGAACAATGCCTGGATCAATTGCAGCCAAAGGCGGAGCATTATCATCTGCAACAGTGGTCATACTATTAGCACTTAAATCTATTATTTGCAATCGCTAAAAAAAGAAGAGATTGACGAATTGTGCAGGGTATACGTATATCCTTCAGTACTGGCGCTCGATATTAAAATCACTAATTTACGAGTATTACATAAGACATAAAAGTGTACAATATATTAACAACGATGAGAACAGATTGTGATTATCTACCGTAAACACTATTTGAGAGCAATATAACATTACTCATATCAATTGCAATTATTGATCAAGATTAAGTTAATCAAAAAATATGCGCTATAATAAAAGTACTTACTGGAATCGTAGCTTTCCAAGTCTAGATCATTTTGTGCCATAGCAATCAAACGTAAAACGATACTGAATTGACTTTGATTGAAAAAATGTAGTCTGTCAAAACCGCTTATTTGCAATATCTAAATTTGGATAGGCAACAAAATATCATTTTACTTAGTATAAATAATTGAAAAGCATTGAAGTGTATCGTAGCTAGCAAGTCTTAACGCTGCCTTATCATGTGGGTAAGCGATTAACTGGTCAAAATTGAATAGTAACTAATTTTTATACCCCATTGATCTATTCTATACCCTCGATGGGAATGCAAGCGCGTTGCTACTAGAGCGGGTGGCAAGTAATTAATGTACCTTTCAAATGGAACTAAAGTTCTTTCAAATAGTTTTGAAGATTTGCTAAAATAGTATCATGTAGCGTTTATTGGCTTCCCTCCATTCCTACCTACACAGACGCTACTGGATTAACCTTTAAACTACTATTGGATATTTAGTACTTGTAATGCGCAATGCTCAAGTACCAAGCGATTTAGCCAAGATTTCAACAGCGCCTACGTAAAGTATTTCAGTTAAGTGTTGGAATAAGTCAATTTTATCATTACAGTCATCTCAGTTCTGCTGACGGGATTACCCAAATTTGTACTTGTTGTCCATGCCTGTATAGTACATGAATAGCATGTAACAGGAGATCATTTAACTTGGTGAGCTATGGATAATTATAATGGACTTTTTATCGTCCATTCTAAATTGCGTTATAGGATATCCATAAGTAGATAATTATTTCTTTTTAGACTTTGTAATTACTGTAATACATATCCGCAACAGTATTATAGTAATGGATTCTATTGTTTACTTTTGGTTAAAATAAAATTCTAGTAGTAATTTTTTTTCTCATCCTTCATGAGTAGCAGGTCATGCTGTAGAAAGGCTCGATGGAAAACTTGGGTAGAGACAGCAGTACGGATTTCAGGAGGTATTTATCTAATACAGTACAGCAAGATCACAACATGATTATCCTGCTTTTCGAAATCCATGGTAATAAAACACCTGGTATTATTATTATTATGTCTGTTTAATATGGTGCTAGACTGGTCATGAACAATCACAAGTATGATACGTTTTATTTTGTCCTTTTTTCTCTAAATAGCTCTACTGCACTGTATAACGCTTTACGATCTCCTGAATTTGACATGGTCAATCATCAGTATGGTGTTTTGGGTAGTTATGTCAATCCACGACTTGGATTCGATAAAGAATGTTTGTCTACGTATACTTGTAGCCAGCATCGTTTTAGTTGGAGTTGTTTCATGCCAACTCTATAAATGGAATTAAAAGCTGCTAAAGTGGCATTTCTTGTAGTGTAGCAGTATAATCGAATTAGTGATAATTTCCAAATCTCAATTCAATTACAGATTACATCCTTTCCAAGTAGTACAGTAAAGTTGCAATTTCAATTTAGCGCACTCGAGATAGCCCATTTTGCAAGTACTGTAGAGGCACTTTCTATCGCTTTATGATTTTGCATTGATTAGGCATACACATCCATGAGTGTACAATTAGTGTTGGGTTATGGCAACTGCAGGAATTGAATCGAAAACTACTCAACTGACACGTACTGTCTGTCTATATGCGTATAATTGAATTGATAATAATTTTTAAATCACGGTATGGTGTGCTCATTGTAGTGGCTAAAATTGAATTACAAGCTACCCAACTACCTCACTTCTAAGTAGTACAGTCGAGTTTTACTTCTCCTACGCGTATTTATTTATTTATTCATTTTGCAACATGCTACTATGTACAATGAGGATAAAAAGTGTTTCTCTTCAAGCTACTAAAGAGTATGGTAAGGGTTGAAAATGATGGAGAAGTATAATCATGTTGGTAGACATGTTGATCCGACACAACTTTTGACCTGAAATGACCAACAATCCTGCCTCGCCCTGTTGACAGAATTGCAAGTATACTGTATTTACTTTTCAATTCATTATTGCACTTTGTGCACAAGGTTACGGGTAGGAATACTGGCATTTCACAGTTGAAAAGTGGCGGTCGATAGTGACTGTTGAAAATAAAAGAGCCAACTATCTGATAGTTGTTAGGCAAAGTTGGATGAAATTTGACATACTGTAACGCCATCTAGCAATGAACAATAAAGCGAAAATAGCATCATCGTTGCACTTGACTCATTTTACAACATGCTACTATGTACAATGGGGATCAAAAGTGCTACTCTTCAAGCTACTGAAGAGTGTGGTAAGGGTTGAAAATGATGGATACGAACAATCATGTAAGTAGACATGTTGATCCGACACAACTTTTGACCTGAAATGACAAACAATCCTGCCTCCCCCTGTCGACGGAATTTCAAGTACACTGTATTTACTTTTCAATTAATTATTGCACATGGTGCACAAGGCTACGGGTAGCATTGAAATACTGGCATTTCACAGTTGAAAAGTGGCGGTCGATAGCGATTGTTGAAAATAAAAGCGCCAACTATCTGACTTGCAAGGCAAAGTTGGTTGAAATTTGACATGCTGTAATGCCATCTAGCAATGTACAATAAAGTGAAAATAGCATCATCGTTGCACTTTACTCATTTTACAACATGTAAGTAGACTTGTTGATCCGACACAACTTTTGACCTGAAATGACCAACAATCCTGCCTCGCCCTGTCGACAGAATTGCAAGTATACTGTATTTATTTTTCAATAAATTATTGCAGTTCGAGCACAAGGCTACGGGTAGGAATACTGGCATTTCACAGTTGAAAAGTGGCGGTCGATAGCGACTGTTGAAAATAAAAAAGCCAACTATCTGACTTGTAAGGCAAAGTTGGTTGAAAAATTTGACATACTGAAATGCTATCTAGCAATGTACAATAAAGTGAAAATAGCATGATGGCAAAGCAAATGGCACTGCATGGATTCAAGTGTAAATCTGACCACTGTTTGATATGGCGGTATACTCGTATGTAGAAGCGATACAATTGGGTAAGCAAAGTCATGACATGCTATGACGATGTGTACAGTAGAAGGAGAATGGAGTAGAGTTTGCAAAGTGAGAAAGTCAATCCTACGCGTCATGAGTAAACAGTTACTGCCTACGAGTCTCCATGTTGGTTGCAATTTAGGATTAAGATGGGTCTAGACAATCTAGTGTACCTATGTAAAAAATGTCCAAATAATTGAAAGGCTGTTTACGCGTAGACAAATTGATGGTGCTTGCAGCAAGTGAAAGACATTGCCTACTGCTGTGGAGTAGTGCAGCGTCAGTACGATCAAGCTACAATTTCCATTTACATAAATGATGCATGCCAATTTCAAGGCGTCCATGAAGGATTGAAACAAGTTGACGGTGATGATGGTAATTGGGTTGAACGGCTCATTGCCATCGTACTTGAGCATGATTGTTGGTGATTTTATGGTTGTCATCAAGTAGACTACTAAAGCAATCATCATCTTACCTTGACGGCCATATTATCATCCAGTCCAGCTGCTTTGATAAAACTTTTGACTCGTTCACTTTGAATTTGGCTAAGATTATCAATGTCCAGCCGTTCAAAAATTTCACCGTAACTTTGCGATTCAATCAAAGAGAGAGGCATCATTTTGGCGTCGGCAATTTTCACCCAACAACAAACACTTTCAAAACAGTCTAGGCTAACGATTGCAGATGGTATGGTAGTCGATGGTAGAAAGAGCGTAAGATAGGTGGATCAAATTGTTCTTGTCCAGTGTTTGATCTAGTAATCCTCCTGTCTACTCCGGTATAGCCAATCAAGTCTGCAATAGTATGGCAAAAACGCTCGACAATGGACGCCAACACTCTTCTTCCAGCCCCAACTTACACGATGGACAGGCCACTTTTAACGATTTCCACTGTCATGGACTAATATACTACAACGGAACGATTGTCATTAACAGTATAGCATCATCCATTGGCTAAACTAGGTCCACTAACTTGATTGAAGATGTCTACAGTAAATTAACAAGGCCAAATCCAATTGCAAATGGTCAATTTCCACGTTCAAGGGAGGATGCTCTTTCCAGCTTGGATGGCAATTTTCCTACCATTAGCTTGATCTTGCCACTCGATTGCTTTGCGCTAGTCAATGCAACCAATGGTGCGGTGGTGTTTGCTACTGTCGTGGTTGCATAGTGCAGTCTCTTTTTTTCCAGTACCATGTACTGTAGCAAGGAGAGCCAGCCCGGTACAACCGGTAGACTACAGTGTACAGTACTTCCAAACAGGAATGACGTCACTTGGACTGTGTACTTGACAGTGTACAGTGTACAGTGCTGCTGTACGTACTGTACTGGACTGGACTGTGGCATCTTGGGACTCTACTGTACAGTACAGTACTTTTAACTGCCAGCACGACAGACTAGACTAGGAAATGGAAACACTTTTTCACCTCTTCAAGCCCGGGTTAAGAAATCACTTTAGTTTGCAACATACTATCGATGGCAAAGTACTTTAGCATGATAGCGTTGAAAAGAGTGCTGTGCTCGTCATAGAAACCCAAGGCAAAATCATCCTCGCCAATTTTTTCTCTCCACGGCGCGTGTGCTGTACAGTGTACAGTACAGAACCACCGTACTGTACACTGTACACTCCTGACGTAACAGTGACACTTCATCCTACACTACTGTAGTTTGTAGTTCAGTAGGGAGGGGAATTTTCTCTTGAGGGTTCTACAGTATGTGTACACTGTACAGTATACTATACACGTAGAACATACTGACACGGTAGACTAAGTGCCAAGCAAGGTCAATTTTCTCTTCAACTGTAGTTCAGTAGGGAGGGGAATTTTCTCTTGAGGGTTCTATGTGCATAGTACACTATACACATACTATTGCTGACACTGGTCTGACAATTTTCTCTTCACCAGTCCATGGTACAGTACAATGTACTCTACTGTACTGTACAGTAGAGCATACTGACACTGTAGACTAAGTGCCAAGTACTGTAAGGTCAATTTTCTCTTTAGCAGTCCATGGTACAGTACAATGTATTGTACCCAGAGAACATACCGACACTGTATGTACTGTAGACTGAGTGCCAAACAAGGTCAATTTTCTCTTCAGCAGTCCATGATACAGTAGTACAGTACTGTACACTATACTGTACTACATGTACTGTACACATAGAACATACAGTACTGACACTGTAGACTAAGTGCCAAGCAAGGTCAACTTTCTCTTCAGTACTGTACTGTATGTTCTCTGTGTACAGTACAATGTACTGTAGATAACATACTGACACTGTACTGTAGACTAAGTGCCAAGCAAGGTCAATTTTCTCTTCAGCAGTTCTCTGTGTACAGTACATTGTACTGTACACAGAGAACATACTGACACTGTAGACGAAGTGCCAAGCAAGGTCAATTTTCTCTTCAGCAGTCCATGGTACAGTACATTGTACTGTACACAGACAACATACTGACACTGTAGACGAAGTGCCAAGCAAGGTCAATTTTCTCTTCAGCAGTCCATGGTACAGTACAATGTACTGTACACAGACAACATACTGACACTGTAGACGAAGTGCCAAGCAAGGTCAATTTTCTCTTCAGCAGTCCATGGTACGGTACAATGTACTGTACACAGACAACATACTGACACTGTAGACAAAGTGCCTAGCAAGGTCTTGCTTCCTGTTCCACTCAACTGGGAGAAGATCAACTTGGAAAAAAAAATTGGCTACTCATTAGCCATCAATCCACTCAAAACTTACTGCTGCTGCTGCTGCCCAAAATTGTAATACTCAAACCAACACTTTAAATCAACTAATATTATCTTACAGCGATAGCATCATTTTAAACAATCCTAATCGACGTATGTGTATTCTACTGTTGGAGTGTAGCATCTTGCTTTGGCTTCGAGTTGAAGCTGTAGAAACTGCTCAAGCTGCCATTTTTATTCATTGATTCAAAATACAGACCATTTCAATCTATGTAAAGTCATTGTATCATGCAAGAAACAGCTGTAAAGTCCATTGCATGTTAGTTTAACCAACCATTGGGATTGAAAACGCGCTGATTGTATAATGTACATGCTAGTAGTTAGTCGATTGTCATCATGGATCGCCTATTAGTGACAATACTTTCTCTTACAGTGTACGTGTATTATTCAATCCGTTTGCAAGAAACAGCTGTAAAGTCCATTGCATGTTAGCTTAACCAACCATTGGGATTGAAAACGCGCTGATTGTATAATGTACATGCTAGTAGCTAATTGATTGTCATCGTGGATCGCCTATTAGTGACAATACTTTCTCATACAGTGTACGTGTATTATTCAATCCGTTTGCACTGTGCAACCTTTGTTTATTGACGTGTGCAAGCGTTTCCAGCATGGAGTAACTTGTACAATATCTTCCTTCCTATTGAATATTGAAATACTATTTTTCTATCCTCTTAGAGCCATTGACGAGCCAGTACAACGTTGTGGTTGTAAATTGGAAAAATGAGTGCTTTATATCGTTTAATTATCACTCGCTTAGATCCTTTGGTCCCCAGTCGTTACCAAACTTTTTGGAATCACCCTGCAGGTAAACTCCAAAATAATACACAACATGACTGACTAGAAATGACGTTTAGACAACTTCGATAACTCATATCATGAATTTCAGTCCAAATCAAGTTAGTATTTGCTTGATGCCTTCCCCAACTGCCATAAGCTTCGTACAAACTGCTAGTTATCAAATGCTTTCTTTTGCTACACGCACCCTTTTATATGGTAGTATCATGCATCATCTCGTTGGCAGACTCTGATTATTATCCACTCGCTTATCCAATAACTTGGTCATTTATTTTACAAAGTATCCAAGTTAGCGTACAGTGGATCGCTGATTCAAGATTTGACTTAGTATCAGATTCCATATTGTATCCCCAACTTTATCGTAACTACGCGTAGATAGAGTTTGAAAGTATCGCCAGTCTATCTACAGTATGCGTATCAATCATAATCGTTCCATTTTCAGTGCATTTCCTTTCCTAAATACAGTTAATAACAAGCTATGCTCCATCTGAATAAATCAATTCTTGCAGCAGTGATGCTGTTGCTGGATTGTTTATGCGAGACAGCAACCAGTAGATTGATTGAAAGTTGCTAGCGTAGACATTGGTATGTGGATTCATTCTAAACTTACAAAACGTAAATCATTGACTTGCAAAGCAATAACCACTTCATTGAATATCTGCCTTTACGAGTATGTTATGAAATGTGCACTTACGAGTCTATGTAACTATCAAGATTTCAATTAACCTAAAACTCTTTGTTTCAACAGGACCGAAAACCGTTCATTTCTGGGCACCAACTGTCAAATGGGTATTGCATTTAATTAATACGCAGTAATAAGGAATAACCTTGCATGCCGAATAGATGATCTAAGCTACTTGTTAAACTGTGCTGTAATCATAAAGTACTTATATTAGATTATTATGTTGCCATTTCAAACCTTATTAACCTTTGATGAAAAAAAACGTGGCCTGTGCCATATATGGATTGTAGTATAGCGTCTGCTACTGCAAGTTTCTCTTCGCTCGCGCCAATGATGAACATATTTTTCCCAAAATTATAGTTGATTTTGCTTGCACGCCACTATTCAATGGTATGCAAGTTCGAGAATGCATTGACTTGTACACAAATAGACTGCGGGCAATTACAACACCTGCAACGTCTTTCCAATGATAAAATGAAATTGGATAGGAATAGCCTGTACTTTAATGCCGAATAGATGCTGCACCTACATTACAAATAGCTACATACTGTAACCTACCTTCCTACCATGACTTCATTGATATTCCATTAAGAAAGGAAATATCCAATTTTTTCCTTCTGTAATAGGCCTTAGTGATTGCCGGCTTAGCCGATATGGCAAGACCTCCAGAGAAGCTTAGTGTTCGACAAAGCGGAGCTCTTGCTGCAACCGGGTGCATTTGGGCTCGTTATTGCTTGGTGATCATACCGAAAAATTATTACTTATTCAGTGTCAATATGTTTCTTGGCACCACTGGCTTCATTCAATTGACTCGCATTTATTTGTAAGTATCAAGATATCCATGTCTTGCCATGACATCCGCTGTCTAATTGATGTTGTGTAATAAAATACTTTCACAAATGGTTGTCCACACTTACAGCATTACTTTTCATAAATTGACTAATTTCTTTAGTCCTACAGTCTAATTTTGTATGTGTAATTATCCTACGTTGTACAGTTTATACTTATGTCTCCGCTATTCTTCTAATTGTAGACACCAAAAATCGCTCAACGCGGAACAAATAGCAACTAATACGCCTGCAATTGAAGATGCGAAAAATTAACAGCTTGATATTCCAAGTGATCTACTACATGTACTAAGAACAAATACCATAATTCTATACCGCACCAGTGATCTTTTTCAACGCATACTGATATTTAAACAAAACAGAGCGATAATGGCAAATTGGTAATAGCATAATGATGGTATCTATTTTCTACTTTTAACAGCAAACAAGATAATAGCGCCATCAACAGTGATCGATGTCAATAGAATACGCTAATTCAGACAGTTGATCCCTTACTTGTAGGCTATGACTTTTATGGATGATATTATGATAGCAAGTTGTTAATTGACTATGCCTCTACTACGTAAGCAGCTTGTGAGATAGCCTAAAAATCGATTTTATTATTAGAGTAAAGGAATTGAATAAAAATTGCAATACGTGTATAAGCGATAGCATGGTTACGCCACTTTGGTGTTGTGTCTATTTAAATTCAAATCACCTTACAAGATTGTTGGCGATGTAGTAGATTGTAGAATTTTGCAGTTGGTGCCTCATTATACTTTCTGTAAAATGGACTTCTTTCACACAAGGCATGTCATTTCAATGACCACTTATGAACTAATTTGATGACCGTGATTTCGGTTAGCATTCTCGGACGATTTTAAAACAGACTTGATAACCTGCACTTGTAAATTAAAATGAATAACAGTCTTTCTCCTTAAATTCATTATCATGGAAAAGAAAGATTTGGACATTTTTCTAAGCATTTTATGTATAGAGCAACGGAGAAGCATTAGATGCATTTTATCACCCTATCATATTAACAGGCATTAGTACTTCTAAGTCTATGACAGCTATAGGATCTGTACTATGCAAATTCAAGTGCAGTAGTGGCATTAGTTTAAACTGATCTAAAATAATAAATATTCTACTAGCTTAGTTCAGAAAGATGGCATACTAGTATTTACTTTAACTTTTATCCCAACAATTGTTGAGTAAAAAATACAACGGTTCGAAACTATGGAGTAGCAATAAGTAAAGTACAGCAACAACGATAAAGATTGAATTAATATTTGCTGGATGCAACTCTTTGTATGTATAGCGATACACCAATGTCGATTGTTCATGCACGACTTTAGGTCATTTTTTTACATATACGAGATATGCACTTATGCCGGCTGTGGTTGCACAACTTCAGTCATTAAGCAATATCACATGCCAACAAGTAAAGCACCGCAACGGTGAAGAAAGTTGAACTAATATTTGCACTCTACAATACAATACTCTACATGGATAAGAAATATATGTACATCCATGTTGACTGTTTTTAGACAATTCTAGTTATTGAGTTGCAAGTGGCAACAAGAACTGCAACGGTGAAGAAGGTTGAATTGATGTTTTCAACATACCCTACAGTCAGTCTGTGACGACAAGCTTATTCTGCAATCACAGAAAAGTTATTGTAGGTTTACAATCTTTCACGATGCTCTGGAGTATTAAGTAATCTACATATTGGATTGGAAATACGCTAAACGGGCGATCGTCTATTATGGGAGTCCTGGAAAAAGTTCATCGTGTGAACGTACCTTAAAGGTGTACAATTTTCAAATACAAGTTAGCTGTTCTTGCATGGCTTCAGTAAGAATCGATGATTGCACTACTTAGCATGTGGCGACAGGCTTAAAGTAATACGCGTATAGCATTATTTAATATCTACAGTTAACGAATACGCAGAATTAGCTCAAGGGCTCTATGAGTAGCTCAACACGAAAGGGTATACTTGCAGACGTTTCTTTTATTTGCATATAATCCATTTGAGCTAAGTATTAGAACATTTGATTGCACAAGTCCTATGGAATATAATACTGCGCAACCAGAAAAAGACTTGCAACGGCTGACTATGCAATACTTTGCAATCTCTTCCACTGAAAATATCGTCAATAGACGATTGCACACTGTATCAAGGTGTACAATTTTAAATACAAGTTAACTGTTCTTGCACGGCTTCAGCAAGAATCGATGATTGCACTACTTAGCATGTGGCGACAGGTATACTCGCAGACGTTTCTTTTATTTATGTATAATCTATTTGAGCTAAGTATTAGAACATTTCATGGCATAAGTCCTATGCAATATCCTACTGTGAAATCAGAAAAAAAAGACTAGCAACGGCTGACTATGCAATACTTTGCAATCACTTCCACTGAAAATATCATACTCGTCATCCAGTTTGGGTTGGGGAACCAATAAAGGACTCTGCTCAATTTAGAACTATATTGTAGATAGATACGTATGCATGTTGACTGTTCTTGTACACCTTCTGCCATTAAACAGCAGCCAGTAAAGTATTACTATCAAATAAGCCATTGACTACTCGATCTTTCATAGTTTATGATGGAAGCAAAAACGCGCAATGGCGGCAACATCCCTTAAAAAAGGGAAGAGAATTCAACATGCAAATCTGACTGGACATTATACCAATGGCTGATTCAGCAAGCGATTGGCTGAACATTTAGTAGTACCAGTCCCTGCTTATACAGCCTAGATTATCCTCTACCGTCCATTTTTCCCAGTGCTATTTACTCGTCTCGACATCCAGATGTCATATACTCGTATAAATTAAATTATTATCCTCTACCGCATATACTCGTATAAATTATCCTCTACCGTCGATTTCTCCCAGTACTGTTATATTTACTCGTCTCGACATCCAGATGGCATATACTCGTATAAATTAAATTATTATCCTCTACCGCATATACTCGTATAAATTATCCTCTACCGTCGATTTCTCCCAGTACTGTTATATTTACTCGTCTCGACATCCAGATGGCATATACTCGTATAAATTAAATTATTATCCTCTACCGTCGACTTCTCCCAGTGCGATTTACTCGTCTAGACATCGAGATAGCATATACTCGTATAAATTATCCTCTACCGTCGATTTCTCCCAGTGCTGTTATATTTACTCGTCTAGACATCCAGATGGCATAAATTATCCTCTATCGTCGATTTCTCCCAGTACTGTTATATTTACTCGTCTAGACATCCAGATGTCATATACTGATATAAATTATCCTCTACCATCGACTTCTCCCAGTACTATTTAGTCGTCTCGACATCGAGATGTCATACTCGTATAAATTATCCCAGTATTATCCTCTAGACCTCTACCATCGATTTCTCGCAGTGCTGTTTACTCGTCCGGACATCGCGATGTCATCCATGTACTCGTATCAATTATCCCAGTAGCATCCTCTACCGTCGATTTCTCACAGTGCTGTTTACTCGCCTGGACATCGAGGTGTCATACTTGTATAAATTATCCCAGTATTATCCTCGATAGTTCATTTAGTATGATGTATGCATGCATAATTGCATATACGTCAATTACAGCGGCATCATCCTTTACCGTCAATTTTTGTTCCGTTTACTTTCCGGGAAATTGATATGTCTACAATCTATGATATTGCATACAAATTGAAAGTAACTTGACATCGCCTTTTCTCTCCTGCAGTTGTACTTCACTACGCTCCCATCCGGGTGCAAGCTGTATCGCAATCCGCAATGCGCGTAAGTTAACAAATGGATTAACTCATAACTTCTCTAGAAGAAAAAAGAAGCCTCGCAAGTGTTTTACATCTGCACAAGAAGATCATTCCATTGTGGTTACATTTACAGTTGACACTGCTGTAAAGGCTGGCCAAGGCCAACATGAGCTACACTTGTCTACTCACTACACTTTTCATAACACTTCCAAGAGTGACAATGAAGAAGATCGGATGTCTACATCATCTAAAACAAGTGATTTCTATCAATTTCCATTCGAAACGGATTGCCTTGACACAAGCGCGCAGTATTGCCTAGTAACAGAGGGATGTCTACAACCATTATCAATTGAAAATATATACCATCAAGAGAATCACCTTGTCCATTGGTGTAGGTCATGTGGCACAACTCAAACACCGCTTTGGAGGGATATCTCTTTGCAGCCAGATGTCAGAAGAAAATTAATATGGACTAATATTAACAGATATCGATTCTGTAATGCATGCGGCATCCGATTGAAAAATTGTAAAATTTACTGTGGAATGTGCTTTTACATTCCTAAAAAGAAGGATCTATCTCAAAACTCTTGTCAAAGATGTAAAGTAAATCCCTCCGTGTGGAAACAACTTTCTTAACTGCCGATAGACGTGTTTCGTTAGCGCAGATGAAGAATAGCCGAAACTAGAACATGAATGAAAACTCTGTACTGTATGTAATCTCTGTCGCTCAACTTTAAAATTTATAAAATCATGCTATCATGCATTTGTGCGTGTATAATAATAGGTTGTCATTGTACTATAGCTACGGACTTAAACTGCTATTTCTGAGCTGTTTATAATAGCTAATTATATTAGCTAACTTCCAACAATATGACTACCTTTTGAGAATGTCATGTATTTATTTATTATAATAATAAATTACACTGCATCGCTCTGTTTATATAGTAGGTATATACTAAATGGTAGTTAGAGACATAAATTACTGTTTCTAAGCTGGTTATAGCATTAACTACAAATAGTATATACGTATAACTTGCCTACTTCATTATAACTATTATTATCGAAACCATCACGTATCGCTCTGTTCCACCTGTAGCTGTACTTTAGTAAATAAAACGATGGTACCGTATACATTTTCTCTAAAAAGAAAGAAAAAACGGAATGTGATTTACGCGATCTCGCTTCAATGTCGAGTTGGTTCTTTTACTTCCTATATGCTGTAGACTTACTTTGTATGCCTGATGTGTGCAAAACTAGTTCTCATGTTCGCATTCTGGATACCGTACCTATAAAATTTCGCAACAGCGCATCCCTGCTGTCTCCCTCCTCAAGTCATACTCTTCGAGAGAGTTGTAATCCTCGCCACTCGGCTATGCGCGAATCACCGGTGAGAATGCGGTTTCAAATTTGAATTATGAATGAAGCTCTACCATGTAACTACGGAGATAGCTTTTGCAGTTTAGTCAGAGCGTACTTCTAACTGCTAGTAGTGATTTTTTAAGGATATTTGAATGGATATTTGAATAGTTATTTAATTAATCAGCCAGTTGCAGTACTGTATGGACATTAGTACAATAGCTATACAGTATGCTAGCTAGATTACCTTATTAGTATGTATGTATTCAGTGCATTGCCCGCTGATACGCTACCATAGCCAGCGTAGTCCTGTAACGATACTCGACTACTATACCGTATTATACAGTACGTATACTCATTGACTACCAGATATCAAACTACTGTTCCAAGCTTGCCACCTGGCTTTTGGTCAATTTCTACCTGGACTATGCAGCACCTTTGCTGCTCATGAAGATGGATAAAAATAATCGCAGTACGTCATCACAGAAACCTGCCAGAAGCTTTGCTTCTAAAGCTTCGATAAAGCAAAAAATAAATCCGAAGGAAACGAAAAAACCTCTTAAACGGCAAATGAGAGACGCTGAAAGATTACTGAGGAATGTAAGTAAACGCGATCAGTATGCATAAAACGTTATTGCTACGCCATCCAGTGCAGAAACTACTTGACTTGATTCTTATCCTGGATAAATCGGACTGCACGGTTATTTTGCATAATCGTCGTGAATAAATAAGAATTTACCATACTCTCTTGGGTATGGTATTAGCAAAAACTATTCCGATTGAGTAGTTCAAACTTCAGAGTGCTTATCGAGTTACTAAACTCGAATCAAGCTCAGCTGCGGGTTAGCAATGCATTTTAGAGAGCTGGAAATTTCATTCTCTACTTTGTAGGCTAATATCCCTCTACGAATTGTTACCTGTAGACTGTAGTACATAATAAAGGAATTGATACAATTGAAATATAATAGATTTTCAGTCAAAATACCGTTCTGGTACGTCTATACGAGTACGTGAAAATCGCGATCAACCTGCTAGCTTGCACTCTTACGGTATATACTATATTGCTAACGATAGTATATTGATGTATTAACTACAGTAGTTCACTACTGTAATGAAATGATGGGACTCTGACGGCAGTAAAAATAGCGGAATCTAAAGATGATGACGTTAAACTCTCCTATTTATTGAAAGTTTATTGACTACTAATTATAGCATACAGAAATGCAACCTATGTTATGCAATACGAACATCGTATATTAACTTAAGCAATTACATTTAGCTCCTCAATACCTCTTACATCTGTTGCGGAAGTGATCATGAACTCCAATTTCATTTGTGTTACACGTATATGACTGTCAATTATAATTGGCAGTTATAGACGTACAGTATATTGAATTGGCTCGTTTTAGTAATCTACAGTATATCGTGATAATCTCATCACTTCATTTTAGTTAACGCTTTCAAGATGCTATATTGTAGCCTTCAATCTAGATAAACTACCAATCAACTTTCAATATTTTTCAGTATTTATCGTATTTCTGTCTCGATTCATCACGACTTGTACTCTGTATCGAGTATAACAACTTAAGGGAATGTCAGAATAAACACTATGTCAAGTTAGAATTGATGATTGTAAAGATTTCATAAAAAATACTTCTTGCTATGCTAGTGTAAAAAGTAGTATGATGATCAATTTACACTTTTCATTCAACCTGCCATGCAGTATTCATCTTACTGTGGATCTTATTACAGAGGTATAAGCGCTCTTACTACAATCATAGAAATTACTAGCACTCTCTATAATTTACACTATATAAGTTTCATTACCCAATATAATAATTCAACTATCACACTGAAAATAACTATCTCGTTATAAGCTCAACAAGCTTAATCTGAGAGCGGTACAAACAGTTGTTATTGACGATACCATTTTTAACTTTTTAACTATTTATGTAGCCAAAGTTGCAGGACAATATTCGTCAAGAAAAAGAGCTATTAATAGAGAAGCTTTCTTCACAACTGAAGCAGAATAAGTCTAAACTAAAAGCAGCTAAATATGCCAAGAAATATAAAAAAGTGAAATTTTTTGGTAAGCCAATACTGCAAACGTATCATCGTTAGATATTTAGACTAAAGTATTAACCTGCCTGCGAGAGTACACTATCTATCTTTGCATAAGAAATCTAGTTGTGAGTTTTCCGTATTTACTTTCCTAGAAAAGAAAAAGCTAACTCGAAGGTATCTATCGTTGCGTAAAAAGTTAAAAAACTGCGAAACAGAGGACAGGTTAGAAATGGCTGTCTGTAAAAGTCATAAGCAAATTAAGTAGTAAATACTATTGCATGTCTAAACATTGCGGTATATTGCATACGATGCTAATTTGATAGACTGTATTATTTTCAACTATGATTCGTAGTGGAGAATTGCATGAAGAAATGAAGCAAGTGGAAGCTCAGCTGAATTACGTAATAGTAAGCGTCAAAACAACGATTTCATCACACTTAAATCTACTGTTTTAGCAAATCAGTAACTTTCATCTCACCTAAACCTACTACCACAAGAATAGTTATTTCAATAGCGTAATGTAAATTAGAAAATCAACCGATACTAACAGTCATACAGTAAACTGTTTATAGTAATTTTAAATTAAAATATTATTGCAATACGTCGTAGTTGCATATACGAGTATAACATGTAAACGGAAGGGAACGACTTGATAGCAAGGTGTATGACTGCAAACTCTTTTGTAATTATTAGTATTTTCCGCCTGATATTAAATACATTTCCTTATTTCCATCTAAACCTGGTCAAGACGATAAAGTTAATGCAAAGAAAGGTATTCATGTATAGTAATTTATTTATATATCTATTCATTATGATAGGCTATGTTGTGCTTGTACTAAATAAAGTATATAATAAATTTATCACAACAGATGAAATTTTCGAACAGATTAGTGAGGACGTTACGAATGGAAAACTACCAGGATATAGTAATTTATTAAACAAAGACCCCAAAAGAAATAAACGCCAAGCGAAGAGACTTACTAATAAAGGTTCCAACTCAAAGCAAGAAGACGAGTTTTTTATTGTTGACCGAATGCCTGATGAGGTTAGTATTGCTTTCAGTGTAACTTTGGCTACAAGATTAAACTTTATTGTACATTTATAATGCGCACAGTTAATAAGCCATATTTAGGGTATTCATAGTATAGATACAGTGAAACGCTTTCTAAGCAGTAGATGAGATATTCTCTCATTGTGTATTGAATTATAAATTGCATGTCTGTTCTGTTGAATTATAAACTGCATAGCTGTTCTGTAGTCTTATCTATTTATCGTCGTAATTTGAAATAAAGTTGGACCCGACCTAATAATATGCAATATTGGCTAGTACTTTACTGCACAATGTATGAAAGACTTAACATTATTTTGTATTACAAATTTATTTTCTACTTTGTCTGAATGTAGGATATCATTGATGGTTGATCCAATTCTGCAATACCAGAACACCTTTGATAATTGTACGATACTTCACATCCTATAATTACTGTAACTATATTCTAATAACTCAAAATTTTTATGGCTACAGATAAATAAAAATAATGCTTATCCATAGTTACGAGACTTTTCGAAGACATGTTCATACTGTGTAATCTGACAAACTTTTTTACTCCTTAGTACGGCAATCTTTCAACCGTTACAAATTAGGGCTACTTTAGCAGCTATAAATCAAATAATTTACTCCATTATTTCTTCAATCATGACTTTTATTTACTTACAAATTATCAATATAATGCCAATAAATTGCCATTATATCACACCTTCATTACTGGGATGTATAACCGTTTCTCATATGCAAGCTTTGTAATAGAGATTATTAGTTGATTTAGTAGTAGTAGACACGTAGTGTGAGAACTTGAATATGGTCTCAACAATGCCTTGTAAGGAGAGTAACTTTTAGAGAGATTGAACTGTGTGAAATATCATCAATGAATGTCAGTAATAAATGGAATATTCTGAAAATGCAATGTTACGCAATCCTTGCACAGCACGAGATATTCTAAAGGTCAAATTTTATTCTTTTTGAAAACTGACAGTGAATTATAATGCTAACGTTAAGGAGTGTTGAAATATTATAACATCTATCTATCTACCTATCTACAACAATTAATGTTCTACCAAGGAACAAGAGGCATATTTAAGGTTATTTTGTAGCATAAGCACAAACACAAACGTGGTATACCCGATCACACAGCAAAGACAGTGTTGAAAAGTACTATTCATTCTTACTCTTTACGCCTGAAAGAGCACCAGAAAGGTAACTCCAGGTGCTAGCCATAACCAAAAGGCTCATGACGATCCATATACCGTTGGGGATGTAAAATAATTTGAGAGCAGTTTCAAAATCAACAGCGTTGAGTTGATGTGCACCATTGCAAATATCTGTGTACTGGATCAAGAAAACAACTGTTTTCCAAAATGTCATGGTAGACACTACCAATGAAAATATCCAACCCTTGCCACGGCTTGATGAGCCCTAATATTAGTAATGTGCATATTATTTTAATACCATAAATCAATATTAAGAAGATGAAACTAGAACAATTCCAAAAATTCTTTAGATTATTGTAGTGGCTTACAAAGAGTACTACAAAGAGCATCATTACAACTTCTGCCACATTGCACCTTTTAAGAAGTAAAAAGATGAAGAAACATTTTGAATCACAGACCGAGAAAATGTTTATTGTTCATTTGTAAATTATTCCGCCACTCTTCACAGACTGTATTCTACTGCACTGTTATCACAATGGCAACCAGAATAGAGTGTTGAAAGTTACGATAGATATTCATTTTCATCTGAATTTTTTACTCTACACAACAATTCAAGGGAGGAATTGCAATGCTTAAACTAAAGCAATAGAATTCCATTTGTATTGTACCATTACCAAGCCTGGCCAATGATGAAGGTATCCTCCAAATCTCCATACTTTTTGTCAACGCCTAGGTACAGGGCATCTAATATAATATCAACAATCAAAATGTAAGCAAATTTGTTCATCTTATCCTGATTGAGTATTTGAGGTTTATTAGCTAAGCATTGATGGTGCTACAGCAAGGATGCTTTATACTAGTATTATGGCTGAATCCAACTTAACTCTGTCTACATATCGAAGGAATGACAGCTTGCTTAACCCATTGAAGATTGCCATTATGGCTTACTTTACTCCTTCTGTCCCAGCACACCATTCTACGTCTACTCTACTGTACGTATGTTAGACAAGTTCATTGTTTGAATGTAAAGTAAAGCAATCCATGCCAACTATTGCTTCAAGCGCTATCTCTTATTTAGGAATACCACGCTCAATTAGTCATGAGTAAGTAGACAGCATCTGATTCCTCATTCAGCATCAAGACTGATCTCTTGTTGTACTCGTACGCTATCTTGCAGCACCATTAAGCAAAGGGACGAATGTTTACTGTCACCAACTCACATTATGATAGCACTTACATGGGCTGAAGTACTGGCTGTATTTGCCATCTGGAGGCATGGAATGTGGGCGCAATAAGACAAAACTTGCATCCCACGAGCAAATGACTGACGATATGAAAAACCAAACTTTAATCCAAACAGGAAGATCGCGAGCACCCATCTTGCTAGTAGCCACTTTGTCCGGTAGTATAAAATCCAAAACCAAATAAGCCCAGATGAAGAAAAGACTGCCAGCCAATCCAAGGTAATATTGAACAAGAAACCGCAGACAACTCGATATGATTGAACCCTTTACAGCGCAAGCAGTTTAGAACGCTCTATGATTAGTATGACCACTTTGCCGTGAACGCGGCCAGAAGCATCCAAGTGTTTGTGACCAAGTTTGGTCACGTGATACAGACTTTTGTCCTCAATGACGCAATTAGTTTGCTTCTCACCACGACTGCGCACTGAAACATGAGCTTCTCAGTCTGCCTTGAGTACTGAAGTAAAGGGAAAGTAGGCCGCAACACTCATTCCGTATGGCCGCAGAAGAAGACCTTTAATAGAATTATTAGACAGAGTCTCTAGATCGCACCTTACTTAATCTTTTTCTTACAGGACAACACTCGGTTGATGATGGTCATATGCAGTGTGGTGTTCAGGGGCAGCCATCGGATGCAGTCAAATGTTAATATATTATTCGAGAGTCTCTACATCGCACCTTAGTCTTTTTCTGACAGGATGACACTCGGTTGATGGTGGTCATGCGCAGTGTGGTGTCCAGTTGCAGCCATCCGATGCAGTCAAACGACGATCGAGGTAATAGAAATGAATATGGGCGCAGGTATGGACGGTCGGATGGATGATCGTGATGTAGAGACGAGGCTTGAGAACGATCGATCGCGATCAGCCCTGCCCACTGTTCAACTCCATCCGGTTTTAGAAGACATCATGGCTCAAGCTGGCGCTTTTCGTCTACGATTGATGGCTGTATCCTACTTGTATTCTTGTTTGAAAGCCTTTAACGATATTGATAGATTGTCTAATGATATTCTATTGCTATCTTAACCTTACTCGAATTGACTTGAGTTATTGCAACTGTTCATTATTGATCGTATACAGTACATGGATCGACGTTTGCATATCGATCTTAAGCTTGTTGTGATAGCATCTGCGTTCGACAGTTGATCTACTACATCATGGACGAGGAACGAGTCCTTGACTGTAGAGTGTTCTTTTTTTTTATGGTTATCAACAACTGTATGAGCAAGCAAGGTGATCGTGATAGCGAAATGTTAGCAATGATGCCTGCTTCGACACGTAACATAGACGTGCAGAATGGCCAGTATATGGAAACTAAATACAAGAGCACAATCAATGAATCATGCATGGATCGTTCTTCCTACTTGCACAATTCCGTTATGGATGATAACGTGGACAATGTACATCTGCTCTTGGCATCGGATAGGATCCAAGACCCTGACTGTGTTGTCTTAATAATGTCTCTAAAACATCTACGGTAGAAACCAAAGAAAAGAACATAACCAATGAATCATTGATCCTTCTCTCGACACGCACGATCTCGTTATAATGTTGTCTCAAAAATGTCTATAAAAGCATCTACGGTAGAAATAAATTCTTCAGTGGTCACAATGATTCGTCAGACAATGAAGGAAATACTTGTACTCGACACGAATATTTATTCTCCCTTTTGTAGATAAAGCATCTAGTTTAGTTTCAATTTTCTGATTGGAAAAACTAAAATTTATTCTGTTCAAAGCTTCACACTATTATCGTATACTCGTCTACTCTGACAATATTATTATCCTTAATGGAAACACTCTTCCCATTCAGACAAAATGTCAGCGTTGCCTATCGACTTCCTCCAGTATCAAGGTAAGTAATATTCGCTAGTTTTGCTTAGCGATCAAATGTCATTACAATTACTACAGTCTCGTATATCGAAAGGATGTGAGTGATGAGTACAATTAGAGCACTGAATGAAACGTGAAAAATATGTTAATACTTCGCACTTAGGAAGTCGTTATTGCTAGTGCAAGTAGGACTCCTATGGGCAGCTTTCGTAGTTTATTAGCATCTATACCTGCTACTAAACTCGGTTCTATCGCTATTGCCAATGCAATCAATCAGGCAGGTTAGTATCAAATTTTTTACTAGTATACACCTGTGGCTAATCCAAAAATATCAACGGTGTAGTTACGGTAATTTTTCAACGTATTTTCAATCAACTTAAATACTAGGCATCCTTAACGATGATGTCAAGGAAGTCTACATGGGTAATGTCTGTCAAGCTGGATTAGGACAAGCACCCGCAAGACAAGCTGCTCTAGGGGCAGGTTGGTATAGAACCTTTGCGATTTTCATTGAACTAATTCAGAAATTACTTGTCAATGACTAATCTCCACCTTCATGCACATATTAATAATGATAGACCAAAGTAGATAACGAATTTTTTACATTGTATTACGATTTTCGAAACCTAATTATCTATCGTTAACGCTTACCATCCTATTTCACTATGATAGGTCTTTCGGAATCTACCCCTTGCTGCACCATCAATAAGGTTTGCGCCTCAGGTATGAAATCAATCATGATGGCTACTCAAAATCTAGCTGTTGGAGATCAGGTAAGCAAAATACGCTAGTACTTGACTGTAATAATGAAATTGCTTCCTTACAAAACCTACAATAACTGACCGTAGTAGCAGTATGAATGCAAACCATTCCTCCCTATCTTAACAATAGGATGTCATGGTTGCGGGAGGCATGGAAAGTATGTCTCAGGTACCATTTCTGGTTGGCCGCGATGCTCCAAATTATGGCGGAGCTATGATGGTGGTATGGTGATATTTATTGTTGCATAACTTATCGCCACTATACAGTATTTCCATTATTAATAAATTATTTTTCGAAAGTATTTAAAGGTAAACGTATGTCGTTTTGTAGGATGCTGTAGTTCATGATGGCCTTATTGACGTTTACAACAAAATTCACATGGTAAATCATGATCCAAACAACAGCATTATTATAATTATTACGATATAAATTAACGCTAGGTTGCAAATAATATTATCTTAGGGTGTTTGTGCTGAAAATTCTGCTAGCAAATATGGTATAAGTCGTGAAGAACAAGACAATTACGCAATTGAATCTTACAAGCGAAGTGCTGCTGCCACAGAAGTACGTTATTACTAACCTCCTTGCCAACAATAAAGGATTCTACCCATTCATTGTATTGACCAATTACTTAAAATAAACTAATTACATTTACCGGAACTTTAGAGTGGGAAATTTGCATCAGAAATCACCCCAGTAGCTGTATCTAAACGTGGACGTCCGGATACTGTTGTATCAGAAGATGAAGAATTTCGTAAAGTTAACTTTGAAAAGTTCACATCCTTAAAAACCGTTTTCAAGAAGGAAAACGGTAAACTTAACCTAATTGCTACTGTTACTGTAACGCCTATAAAATACATATAAAGCCTAGAATTCTTAGTATGCAATACATCAGGATTTGTACTGAGTTCAATTAATTAAAATTATAGGAACCATCACCGCAGCGAATGCTAGCACCCTTAACGATGGTGCAGCTGCTCTCGTCCTAATGACCAGGGAAGCTGCAGACAGATTGAAAGTAAAGCCTCTTGCTCGTATACTTGGTAAGCTAAATATATACTTTACTTTCATAGCGATACCTTTCGTAACAATGTCTCTACTCTCGAAATAGAACAAAATTACAAATAATTCAATTCTTTATTTAATCATTTATAGGATACGCTGATGCAGCTCACGCTCCAATCGACTTCCCAACTGCCCCAGCACCAGCCATGGAACTCGTAAGGAAATCATTCTAGGTCAAAGTATCTCTAAGACTATTGACACTATTCATTACCTATAGGCAATGAGAAAGACCGGTACAACGAAGGATGATTTTGAAATGATCGAAATCAATGAAGCTTTCAGTGCTGTTGTATTAGCCAACATAAAAGTAACCCACTTTCCTTATGATCTTATTACTTAAATATTAAACATCTTTAATATTTTATAATTCGTAAATTAGTTATTAGGTTTGGACCCCTCCAAGGTAAACATTGACGGAGGCGCGGTTTCCTTAGGCCACCCAATTGGGTAGGTTTATGCCATACGAGTATTTTGCACTTAGTAGGAGTAGTATGTGACATTAAAATCAATGATGATATTATTAATATGCAATATCAATTTGTTTCATTCAACTTGTAGGATGTCTGGTGCTAGAATCGTTGGTCACCTTGCTCATCGATTGACGCCTGGAAGTAAGGGTATGGCCTCAATCTGCAACGGTGGTGGTGGTGCTTCCGCTATTATTATTGAACGTTTATAATTTTTAATTAAAAAATAACATTTTATGAGTGATGATGCCAAATTATACTATTCTCAACTTTCTTGCTCGTAAGTTACTTTTATTAGTTGATAATTTACGATATATGCGGCAGTACTGTTGTTAATGAATTGCAGATTTGTCTGAATAAAATTGTTTAAGCAATCGCTTGTGAAATTCGTCATGGAATATATTAATTGGGTATACTACGAAACCCACGCAAGGATTTCAAAGATAAATGCATTCTATACGAGTTATTCGAATTATTTACGTAAAACTCAAATGATTGCTTGAGAAGAAGGGCTATAGCAAAAATCCATTCTGACTAAGGAAATTAATAATTCGTTATGCCTAGCCAGCGTTGAGCAACATACCGTTATGTGATTGATTTCGGTTCCTGTCATATATAACATGTATAATATGTAACCATACTTAAACACTACGCGTGTAAATCTATAAAAATTCTAGCTTAAAACTATAACCTTTTTGACCCTTCTCCGTATCCTTCGAGTATATTATAGTTAGGTAGTTCTGATGATAACATTTTGTGGACAAATCTTAAATATTTATACGCAACCTCATTTATTCACGCTACGCTTTAAACTAAGTCTAAATTAAAGTAATTAGAAGCCAATAGGCCTAAATACGCCCAGTAAAATAGATCACCTGATCACTTTTTTACAGGATACAAATTCACACGAGAGAAGATTAAAATTTTTATGTTCTGAGGTTTGAGCTTGCAGAATGAAACTCAGAATCGTCATATTAATTAACGCTGTTACTAATTTTCAAGCCCAATAGGTTAATTCAAACATGTATTTTTCACTCGTTATATTGCAAATTGAGTATCATCTGACATAAGCTTAAGATATCTACATCTACATCAGGAAAATGCTAGCTTATCATTATTTCTCTACTTGAAATAATAATTACAGTGATTCTGTCTGATAATGTAGTAAATAAGATGCCACATTTTACAATCAATATTGCTATCATTATCATATCATAATGATTTTTGTTTACAGTTAATGCAGCTAAGGTGTTTGAAAAAAACACTTTACATTAAATGTTAAAACTTATAAATATAACAATGTAGTTGACAATAATCATGACATTTAAACGCAATTACGATAGGAAAGAGCAAACGACCTGAAAATTTTAATGGAAATGATGAAGTTGCCTTCATAAGTCTACCTCCTACTACAAATATATAGTTTATCATCAATATAATTATTAATAATTCATACCGATATACTCGACAGTAGTATCTGTAGTTCAAGTATTTAAATCAAAGTAAGTAAGTAATCTACTTTTAAATGCTACTTCGTATTTAGTAATTACTTATATAGCACGTTCTATCTGTCATATGAACAAGTTAGAATATCAATAAGAAAGTTGATTTGCATAAGGCAATTTTTATGCTCATTAATCAAAAATTCCCGGATATTGTGCTCTATGTCAGCCAATTTTCAAGCCTTATGTTTTTAGCACCTATCATTAAAACTATTTCAGAAACAAACGTGATATGGTACAACTAAAGTGAGTAATGCTCAATTATTACAGCTATTCTGAAACAGTTCTTTAAAATTCAGCTATTAAAAAATTACAGCAGAGTACATTAATGTAAATTGGTATTGATTAGTAACCCAAGCATCAACGCCTGTCTTATTAATTATATTATAGGATAAATTCAACAATGTTGAAGACGATAGAAGCTATCTATCTTTTGTTGCTTCTTTCGACCATTTTCGCTTATATGCTTACCAACAATTCAATCTAGAATTGAATAAACTTGTGAGAGCAACATATTAAACGAAAAATATTTTCCCATTCATTGACTGTTTTCCGTGAAGCAATCCAAAATGAGACAACAATACCGCGTAATAGTTGAGCTAATAATTTAACAGCAAGCACTGAGATATGAACGTCAGAATGTATATTTTGCCTTTTCTCACATGGAAATTGGTTAAATCGTGATTGATTTCTATGCAAAGGTTGCCAATAAGGTCCTTGAGTGTACTCATAGCAATAGCAGCCTATTATGATAGATGCTAATAGCCAATAAAAGATAAAGAACGTTAAAACACGGCCACGAAAGCGACTTAATTTTACCATTGAGGCTTTCGCTGCGGTGTTTTGTGCTAATTGAGCTTTTATTTTTCTAGTGCTGACATAAAACACTATCATAAATACGGAGGCAAGTAATAAGCAAAGAGAATGAGGTAAAATGACAAAGCCAATCAAGTAGAACCCTTTCTGTGTGGCTAGATGGCTACTAATATAGCATAATCCAGTTAGTTCATCGGCACTAACTTTTTTCCAAAGAATTATGACGGCAACCGGCACTGCAGGTATAATCCAGCTTAATGTATGGTAATAGACAGCATAGCCAGTTATTATTTCAGAACACCATTTTTTCTTGGCTGATAAGTACCATAATAACGTTAAGACTACTAACCAAATTGAAGCGACTAAGTCGAAATAGTATAACATAATAAATATAACTGTGCAAGGCACATGGCTAACTGATTCGACGATTAAAAAATGATTCTTAGTAGAGTTAATAGGGGTACCAGGATAGCTACACTTCAGCGGATCTGAGTTAAGGTAATCTGGACAGAAAAATTGACAAAGCGTATCGTTGATAGGATTACGAATCGATGAATTTGTCATTTTAGTAAGAATTCTATTGCTAGAGTCGAGTTTTCCACACGCTACCGTTTCATAGCGTAAGAATACACGTAAAAGATGGACTAAAGCATAGATATTGTAACATATTGACATAAATATGAGGATTCGTTCTGGATATTGAAAACGTTGTGGTCGAATAGCAGCGGTTAAAATTGCTATCAACGTAAAGGAGAACGTTAACGCCGATAACAGAGCCATATAAGTATTCATCCTTTTCTTTTCTTTACTAGTAAATAATCCCTCACCACAACAGCGTAATCGGCAAGTCTGACTTTTACTATCGTAGCTATAATGCTTACATCGATCGCAAATTTCACGACTTGCTTCATGCACTATATCCGTAGAAGATTTTGTCGATAACGTAACAGCATTGTGGACGGTGTTTGTAGAAATTGGCTTGCTATCCGTTGTAATAGGAGGCGGAAAGCAAATGTATCCTTTCTTATTCTGGAGATACAGAGAGCAATTGAAACGAGGATTTCGAGGTAAAGAATTCCATATATCACAATCGCTTTTAGCTTTAATACATAACTCGCGACAAGGTTTAACTTCATAATTTTGGTAGCCATAGTGTTGATAACATAGCGGTAGGTAAGACAGGCAAAGAAAAGCTCGAGCAAGTCGACATCGATTTTCATTTTGATGTATGATATGATGAGCGATTTGGAAAATTTCGTCACTTAGTTGATTTTGAGTTATATTATCGGGTAAAGTAGTTAAATTATAATAGTTTAAGTCTTGGCAAAATTTAACTTGAACCTTTTGACATTTAACTTCGCCATAACATAATGACCACAACAAGACTACACTGATCGTAAATAGGATCTTTAGGATCTTAATTTGAGCAGACATGACGGGTTAATAATTTGCCATGAAAACATAAACAGTCATGATATAACTTACGAGGAAATTGCTAGATCCGGCTAAACTAGAATTTCCATTTCAAGAATAGACTATTTTATCAACTTCTTATAGTCTGCTTCTGGTTAATAACTCTATCTACACTTAAATTTTTCTCACTTTACTTGACTGATATCATTTACAAGAAAGACTATAACAAGATAATGCTTAATTAATTATTGAACCTATTCTACAATTTTAGAGACACAATAGCTATCTTCCCCAAATCAGTCTTTTTCGTCTAAAATAAAAGTCTAGTGTCTTAAAAATTAAATTAAATAGATTACAAAGGATTCAGTCAAATCAAATTTATGCGGTAGACTTTTTAATGTCTACCAAATATAACAAAATGTTATTTGTATCCTGCATTAGCAGACAGTCTATAGCAATTTAAAGATATAGGAAGATAATTTTAAGATATTCAACGATAGCGGTGACTCAGAATTTTCTTTAACTAGCACAAGGAACTTATAAAATGTTTTTTTAATTACGCACCTCTTCAAAAATTGTCGACCTAAGCGAAGGCATAAGGTCATTTATACCCATAACTAACATTCTTCACCCTGCTGTGATTTTCAAACCAAATAAGATAAGGAGTTTATTTTATCAAAGATCTAAAACTACAATGCAAATACCGCTATCCAACTATAGCAACGATAGGAATTTTGATTGAAGGAATCACAGTTTACGAAGCAGTATGTGTAAGTGTTAGTAATGCAGCTGAATTATGGAATTTGATTGTTACTGTATGGATTCAATTTGAATAAATTGTAGGTATAAATAAGTGCTATTATTTATTTAACGTCAACTGCCCTAACTCTATAATTTGGTAATATGGTAAGAAATTGAGTAGAATATAAAATAGTTTTATAATTTATTTTACTTGAATATCTCCTTGCTACGCTTTCCTTGATCTTGAATGTATATTAGAAAGATTTCAGAGCATCACAAGTACCGACAATGATATTGCTACCTGATATAAATGAATACGACTTTCTTCTGCAGTTCGCCGTCTAGCCCCCTGCAGGTAATTATATTATTTTCGCCACTAGTATTTCCAATCTGTATATATAGTCAGCATTGTATTTTACTAGCCACCATAATTATTCTACTTGTATAGTGATTCTGTAAAGTACTTTTGATCACCTGAGGAGATATCAATGAGAATGAGGGTAACTGTCTGCCTTTTCTTTATAGATTGTAAAAGTAGTTAGCGTTGTATGAGCTACGACTTAAAATTGAATAAATAATTTAATCCTTATGTCATGGAAACTTAGTATAAGTGTTAGACGCTTCTATGAATCATGCCTGATTGTAACGGAGTATCCAAGTAAGAATGCAAAGTATAGATTTTCTACTTTAATACACATATCAGAGCCCGTTTTTATTATACTGTATACTACTCCATGGCTTTTAAAATAATGGTAATTTATGCATTATCCAATTTTATCTCTTTAATCAGATTTGCTGTTACCATTTTGGACTCTATACTTACACACTAACAACTGCGACAGAACCAATTCGGAAAGTAAGAGATTGTCTTGATTAAGTTCGTAATTGATTTATTTTGTCTTACTGATATTTTAGATTTGCTCAATCTTATTTTACTACTCTAGAATTGAAGGCTGCTACCATTAACTTCGTTGGTATAAGTATAAGATAAAAAGTAAACCTAAGTTATAAATCCTGTTCGTCATGTTTTATGGCTTCGGGATAATATTTTCTATGTTGTCCGATTCTATCTTATTAATTATGACTTATACATATCATTGTTACTATTAAATCCATAAGAATACGTAAAAGCTGAGACTAATCGTAAACCTAATTCAGTAATTCTAGAGTAATATTCTTTCAGGCCGTATTCCAGTAGTCAAGTTTACGATTGCTTCTGTTGATCTCACGGCCATATCTCAAGACTTTCCATTATTACTTTAAATCCATAGCCATATGAAATAAGTTGAGACTGAATTTACGATACTTAATTGTGATCGCAATTCATCACTTACTATAATTTCTTGAATGATATTCTATGAATTTACTTGGTAGTATTTTAATGGACCAATTCTTCGGAACGTCATTTCTAAGCTGGAGTATAATTGTGGATGCGAAAATAAGTAAGCTAAGATTAGGATTCAATTGTGCAATCACTGGCGCAATCAATCAAGTACTGAGCGTATAGTCGTTTAATGAAACACTCTATAAAGACACTATTAGTATTATATGGTAAGAATGCATCAAGTTGTCTGATATGGATGTGATATTTCAAGAGCAAAAATTTAATTTATCAAATAGTGTTATGGTGCACCTCCAAACTTGATATGGAACCCTAATTTATCTTGTAGATTTGCCATTATTGGCTAACAAATCAATATAAATACTATGCAAAGAAAATTCCTGAATTTCAACGCACACAGCCGGCCAGGGCAGTGACTATTACTGAAAAATTTCTTTTCACGGATGCAGAATATCACTACGGGTGGGAGTAAACATCAAAGAATAATCAGGAAATGTTCTGTTTCCTCAAGTCATTTACTCTTAGTAGGGTAACAGAACATTCATCCAATTTAATTAGTGCAATTAATATAGGCATATCTCACTACTGATACTGATTCTTGTCTTGACTTTCCAAAGCACTTTAACATAATGATACTGTCATATATAGTATTTCCATCACCTGTCGTCCATGGTAACAAACTTACAAGACAGCTCTCTTCATCGTAAATGCTAGCCATACCAGCATGATTTTATAATTATATTTTTCAAACTTTGTGCATTTTGGTCCGGTCTATTGTATATTCCTTGTAGGATTGTCAAATTCTAAGGATTGACAGTAAGAAAACATTTGGCCAATGGAACCAATTTCCCTGTATACTAGTCAGCAACTTTCTTGAAACACGTGTTTTTGATCGTCAATCTGAAGAGATACTATATTCAATATTTGCTTTTTGAGCTCTAGGCACATCTATCAATTTATTTACGAGTATGAATTTATCTTTCTCCAAATTAATTTAGTGATATTGAAGAAACTACTTAATCGAAAATGGCGAACAGTCAATGCGTACATTTTCTTTTCAGATTTTTTAATTAAAATAAGACCAACATTATCCCTATACGCTATATCATGTGCTCTATCTCTAGGTACAGTAGATGAAAGTTTATGATGGCATAAAGTGATATAATTTGAAAGTTGCTTCTTTCTTATCCTTCAATATCTAAAATGCAAATTGTAGTGATGCACCCATATTTGATTATACAGATAGCCATATTTAATAATACTGTTTCTGCATCTTAGAATCCTTACAACTACTGTAAGCCACGCTTCTATTATATAACGAAGGAAGGATTATCGTGAAGCTAATATTAGATGATTGCTAACTAGTATATTAGAAATTGTTGATGACTAATAGTAGCCAGTCGATTAATTATGGTACAAGATTTATGTAGCTAGAAGCTCTGTAGTTGTTAAGATGCCCTTCACAGAAAGGGATTAGACGTTAATAGAAGAGTAGTATCATCTTAAGTAGAATGATTTCGATTATAGAAAATATTGATGTACTATTAGAGAAAAGTATTTTGTTTAATGACTGATGCCAGATTGTAGATTAATCAAGTTGTCATCAATGGATTTAACTTAATGTATATAAGAACTGCAGAGATGAGCTCAAGAAGAGCAAAAGACTTCACTTCGCTTTGAGCTCGGAATATTTTCGATTTTAGACTAGATTCTTGTAGTAATTAATTATTGCTCTACTATTCCTAAAACCTTGTAATAAAAGCCTTTTAGAAAATAAAATTTGACTTCAATAGTTATTGTGAGACGCATTTATTACACACATACTTGCACTAAAAATTGCATTTGTACATCGTGGAATTTGGAAAACAGTCTATTAAAAGTAGGACTTACAATGCTGCAATAGTCTAGTTGCATTTGGATAATCACTATCCAAAAATAGGCGCAAGACTAAATGATGAGGTTAAAGGACACGATCGTTGACATAATTTGGCTTCACTGTACTAGATGTACTAGCCTTTATGTATACCACGCTGTAAACAATCGTATGAGCAATTCATAGCAGCTAGGTCAGTTTTACATAGTATGGCTTACGTTGTTTTCAAAAAACCCTATTTATTAAAGGAGGTTAAAACACTTAGAAAGCAAAATTGGACAGGGTAATAATTCAAAACACATGTAATAAAGCTTTCATTTTAGTACGAGCAAATAGAGTACACATCATTTTCATAAGATTGTTAAGCTGTTTAAAAGTAGTATAGACTGCACTATCAGAAGGACATTTATTGGTATATCAATGCCGCTTAAGTTAAGGATGAAATAATGTTCCTGTTAAAGTTGGACAAATACAGAAATGGCAAATTTATATCAAACTACTCGTTCAATATCAACAACAATGTAAAATGCTACTTGACACGGTAGAGTGGGCTACTATAGGGTAATAGTTAATTTACGAAGCTGCTGAAATAGAATAATTTTATGTATTTCTGCAGCCTATATGATGACATGATTCTGGAGATATAATATATATAATAGAACACTTATCATATCTGCATTGCGTATGGTATTATAAGTTTAGAAGTAATTTGAAAAGACGTATTGCACACATCGAATAGTACAGTAAAGCGATCACCAAAATTATGAATTCTAAATTCTTGCTATTATCGCAAAATTTTGCTTGAACATGCTCAAATTACGTATAAATAGCTATCTAATGCCATGTTAAATAGCTTATTAGTGTAATTATGAATTCAAGAACAAAAATTGGAAGATTTGCAGTATAAAATCATACTGAATAGCTATCGTTGTTGGACGATGGCATGCAGTAGAGCGTGTAATGTGTTGATTAATATGATAGCCAAGGATCTACGAGAATGGAGTACACAATAATTGGATCCGTATTTGGAGAAAATAATTTAATTTCACTTTAAAGAGGTACTGGCACAGAACGAAGACAGTGCATGTTCTTTAGCTGCAGGCTAGAATAATTATCTAATTAGCTTTACAAAGTAGGCTGATAGACAGTATAATATCCTTTCTATACTGTATAAGAAGAGTGATTGAATTGGTGTTTGGAGAAAATAGTCTAACTTTTATTTTAAAAGATACTGACAAGGAAGAGAGATAGTACATGTTATAATTTTATTTTCTATAGCTCCATGGCCGAATAATTCGCTTCACCAAGTCGACAGGCTGTCCGTAGAACATAGTACAGTTTACTACTGTACTGTATACTAGTCCATTTGCTGCACTGTCGTCCACTGAAATGCAATCCTGTACTGTAGTGTATTGGGTCTCTTCTAGCTCTAATTCCATATGACTGTTATTGCAGTAAAAGCCTCAAGGACAAGCGAGAAAAACACAGAAATTCTCTTTTTGGACTGCCGTCCAGACGTGCGTCTGTCAGAAGACACGCTAGCACGCCTTTATTTGTACAGTATATTGACAAACTTGTTTACTGAGCTGACAATGCCAATGATTGCTATCTTATCATGATACACCTGACGGTACAACAATAGACGGAGAACGTTGCTCGAGTACGACTGACCGTGTACGACTGACCGTGTACGACTGACCGTGTACGACTGACCGTGTACGACTGACCGTGTACGACTGACCGTGACGACTGACCTGTTGGCTTTTTGTTTCCAAGTGGATGACACAACGTTGAAGTCAGTGGTTGAAAAGTGGCAGCGGGCGCCATTGAAGAGCATCTTGTGCAACATTGATCAAACATTAACCCAGTGGAAACTTTCTGCTTGTTGAATCCATTCAACATTGCCTAACTTGTTCTCCGACTGGATTACGGTAAGTGGATCAATAGAGTAGAATGGAATAGTATTTCTCTTCATGGATTAATGGCCTGCAGAGAGCTATTGTTTCGTCTTTCATCCAATTTCAACGCGATCGTCGTTTGTCAGCCATTCTGTTGTTGGTAAGACAGTTGTAGCAGGATGTGGCCATGACTCTAACAAATAGAGCATGAAAACACCAGACGCAGGATAATCTGATGGTCGATACTGGACGCAATGATTACTGTACGTCGAGGAAGAGTTTCCTTCTTCCTACAGTAGACAGTCAGTCAACCCGACAACTATCTCACTTTTAAGAAATCATATTCCAAAAAAATGCATGATAGTCTACGAGTTGAGACAGTCATTCCTATCTTCATTCTTTCCTACATTTCTCTGCAGAATCAGGTAGAATCTACAGTAGTACAGTATAGAAATTGACGATGTCGAGAAAGATTCACTATAGGTATATACTGTATGGCACGGTCGTGCAATTTTCACGTCCATTTATTTATTAATTAATTAACTGAGCTATTCTATACAGTACAGTACATACAATATGTACATATAGAATAGCTCAGTTAATTAATAAAATAAATGGACGTGAAAATTCCACCATAGGATTACAACATGATGGCAATATTATGCTACTGTCTTGCCAGTTCTAATTTTTACAATGATGTATGTTACTTCACATGTTTCTATCCACTAAATGTACAGCCTGAATCAGCTTCTCTATTTCTATACTGATCTGCGTATGGACCTGACTGTCAATTGACCATGGATTGATATCAATATCCAATCAAGTAAATGAGTCATCCACTACCTTAACATAAATGCAAGGATAGAATGGGCGATCTACTTCCTTTGACAGACGTACAGTAATGGTACTCGTGTTGACAGTGTGTCCGATATCACTTTTCCTTGCTACACTACAAACAATTGCTTCAATTCAAATTCAAAGTTAGCTATTATCGTCATGTCCGTACTCGAGCAATTCGATATTGCTATACAGTCTACACTAGTATTAGGTATATAAAAAGCAAGAATAATTGTATGCTAGTATACTCGTATATACAGTACAGTACATACTGTAGAGCAAATCAATAAAATTGATATATAGTATTTTCATCGCCATTGTGACTGTTGTAATGGCAATTGCCTCGTTTAATCAGACTAATTACATTCAAAACTGTTTATCATAATAGACGATGCTTATCAGTGGCTCTTATTGTATCAGTGATTTGCTTTTCTTACCAACTAAATCGACATGCAATCGCCTATTACTGTATATTCACAACCAAAATCATTTACTACATATGCTTACACCTGAACAATGCTAACTTAACGAATAGCTTTACATTGAAAGTCACTATCATAGTTAATAAGACATTTGAGTATGTTTTAATGAAACGTATATTTGTTATCCTACCCTTTGCAAACGCTTTATTCCCTCTGAATAATGCAGAATTTGGCTATCTACTATAAATTTACAAATTGACACCTAACACATTGCTACTGGAAATGTAGCAATTGATGATAGACGTATAGCCTAGCGTTGTGCACAACACTTCTAGAATTAGTCCCAATCAACAACGTATTGCTGGCAAAATTTGTATCAATAATGATAATCAATTCGCGATAATATGTTTATAAAATATTGCTACAGTGCCATCAACATATTAGCACTCATTTTAGAGTAATGCAGTACATATACAGTACAGTATCAGCATATCGGCAAACTACCATTAACATATTAAGGTATAGCTTCGTAATTAAAACTGAACATTGCAACGTTGACATAATACCCGTACATATGCATACTCATGCAGTACTGTATGCATTGTACCCCTATGTCTCTAGTTTCTTGACATTTGATATGCACACAACTGTAGATATACAGTACAGTAGCTTACATTTTACCTAGATATTGAATTACTCTTTCGTACATATGGGAATTATTTGCAGCTAAACGCCTCCACTGAAAGTAACCTGTGATAATAATACTCCTATGTATATGGTACAGTATCCAGTTCTATAGCCTATACCCTTACTCTTTCGCGCATAGGAAGATTTTTGAACAACAGTTAGACACCTAGATGAGGATTGTATTCAGTTATAATCGAATAGCTGAATAGTCTACACTAGTGTACATTAATAATAGAATCTATTTTTGGAGCTTTTTGGGACTCACGATACCGATGCTCAACTGAGTTTTACAAATTTATACCTGTGATACTTGATGACGGGCTGATAAATAAATGAGAAAGTTATCTCTGACCTGAAAGGTCTTGACATGCTTATCTGTTGAATATCTTTTTCCAATGTAATTACGGCTCAATCAATTATTCTACCATTATCACAAGTAATTAGTTGTGATTAATTATTGTATTTAGTATTAGAGCCAGGAGCGTCCAATAGTACCCTCACTATTGTACAAAGTTTATGACATACTGTATTATACCACCTAGAATCAGTTCGGTCACAATGAAATCAGATATAAACAGGTCACTTTTTCGATTCATGTGCGACTAGGAAATCATTTGTAACTCTATTGGTAGTAACATTAGTTGCATAATAACCAGGTAGTGATGTACCCACCGATATTGGCAATTTTAATATCTTTAATCATTTATTTAAAACTGATGATCTATAACATTAGCATCTTTTCATATTTTACAGGGAGTAATACAAGAAATAACCACTTAAAGCTTTAACCTTAATAATACCACCAGATGCATTCTACATTCGTATTTCTATTACTATCGACTGCAGTACTAGTTACTACTGCTGATTATTCTTTAACTATCCTGCACACTAATGACGTGCACGCTCGATTCGTTGAAGCAAACAGATTTGGTGGGAGTTGCAGCAGCTCAGATGCACAGAGTGGAAAATGTTTTGGTGGTGTTGCAAGACGTGCAACTATGATCAATCAAATTAAAAGTCAAAGATCAAACGTCTTGCTATTAGACGGTGGGGATCAATTTCAAGGCACATTATGGTTTTATGTCTACAAAGGATCTGCTGCAAGTTATTTTATGAATAAGCTTGGATACTCAGCTATGGTAAGACTGATGATTCAACTTTTTTAATTTAAAACAGCTGCAAAGTATTCCAGAATTGATATAAGAATACCAAATCGCCTCTGCATACGGATACTCGAATATATCCATATTAATTGTAGTGGCTCTATGATACAGGCCGTGAATTGTTTTTCTACAATCTTTCTAGAAGGTCAATCCCTTCCTTTTAGCGCTAAATTGCATTATGTAATCAGTATTAAGATGCACATAAAACTACCTTTCTCCTCTAGGCACTTGGAAATCATGAATTCGATAATGGCGTGCCTGGTTTAATACCTTTCTTAGAAAATGTAACCTTTCCGGTTCTATGTGCTAACGTTGATGGCAGTAAAGTCCCTCAGTTCAGCTCCAAAGTCAATAAATCGACTATTTTCAACGTAAATGGTCAAAATATTGGTGTTATCGGGTATATCACATCTGAAACACCGGATGTTTCCAACCCTGGCACCGATTTAGTTTTTAGCGATGAAGTTAAAGCAGTTCAAGCGGAAGCTACTAGATTGACTAACATGGGAATTAAAATTATTATTGCTGTGGGACATGCTGGTAGGTCCTCAGTAGAAACCTTTTGTGATTCACTTTACACTGTAGCATAACAAAATATCTACCAATATACGAGTATACGCATACATACAACTAAAAAGATAATGTCAAATATCGTAATATCATATGCAGAGGTGATCATGCTTCAACGCTGACTAAAATCTTCTCTAGATATAATCAGAAACCGGTACTTTGACTTGAGATAATTTATATCGTTTGATTACAAAAAATTATACCAGGCTTCACAAAAGACAAAGAAATTGCAGATAAGGTCGTCGGTGTAGACATCGTGGTTGGTGGTCACACAAATACCTTTTTATACACCGGAACACCACCTTCAAATGAAATCCCACTGGACTCATATCCAACCGTTATCAATCCAAGTTATGACACAAATAGGAAGGTTTTGGTTGTACAAGATTTCTACTTCGGCAAATACCTCGGTGACTTACAAAGTAATGCACGATATTATGCTACAAATTATCGTAATAATATTAACATTGTATCATGCTTGATCGTTTCCTTTTAAATTGAATGTAGTACCCCTTCCATCATTATAACTTGTAATAAATTTCAATGTTAACATGATCAAGTATTCAGATAAAGAAATTGTAGAATCACATCATTCTCCAATATAATTTTTATTTACATGTTCATAGCTGTTTTCGATGACGACGGTGAGGTTAAATCCTTTGGGGGTAACCCAATTTTGCTAAATAGCTCAGTTGCTATGGACCCTACTATTAAAGGTTACGTCGATGAATTTAGTAAAGCCATCATAGCTCAAGGTAAACAAGAAATTGGCAAGGTAAGCAACCTGCTAGTGCGGCATATATAGAACTAGACTAACACTGTTGTACCTAGTCAAATCTCATATTTCAATACCACTTTATGATATTTTGATAAAATATATCGCTAACACCGTCGGTATTATATGGGGTCTGAAATTTCGTCAAAACGCGAACTTTATATACTAGACCTACGTATTTTTAGACGGCCAGAGAACAACTATTCGTCTCAGAGAATCCAATTTGGGCAATCTGTTTACTGATGCTATGGTTCATCAATACTTAAGAAACCCAAGCTCGACGGCGTGGAATGATGTTGGTATTGCGTTATGTAATGGCGGAGGTATTCGAAATCCCATTGACGTAACCAGACCACCAGGTACAAGAACTGTATAATCGTTTACTCAATATCATATGTATGTTAGGAGCACACCTCATGCATAGCAATCCTTTTCGATATCAGCCTATCTGCAAATAAAAAGTGACTTCTACGTAATAAAATTTCAGGTATTGTTACGATGGAGGATATTTTAACTGTTTTACCGTTCCGAAATACCGTCGATGTCATCGAACTGCAAGGAATATTTCTAAGACAAGCCTTAGAATTATCTGTTAGAGATTACAACCCTGTCGATGCTCATGGGCGATTCTTGCAAATGTCAGGTAGAGTGCATTATACATTTATGCTTTGCATGCAGTATGCATACCCGTATACAATATACTCATACGCTATAGTCGTAGAATGCACGCAAAGCTTAAAAAATTTTTTAATAGCTATTATATAAAAATAATCAGTTAAATATTATTGCCTGTAATCTTCGACTATTATAGGTGTACGGGTTGTTTATGATTTAAGTAAACCACCTCTAAGTCGGGTTACTAAAGCGGAAGTACGTTGTACAAACTGCACCGTACCTGTATTCGTTCCACTTGATGACAAAAAATTCTACAAGATGGTTATTTCTTCTTTTATGGCTAACGGTGGTGATGGCTATACCATGTTCCGCGATAACAGAACATCTTTAGTTTTAACTGGATTCTTGGATAGCGATGTTCTTGTTACTTATTTTAATAAACTATCTCCAATAAGTATTGGTATTGAAGGACGTATTCGATTTATGAACGAAACCGGTACATCAAATCCCCCAACTAACCAGCCCTGCATTAATTCTGCCTCTGTCGCTTATCTTATGAGTAACATGATAATTCTCTTAATCTCGATTATATCGCTGTTGATATTGTAGTCATGTAGGCAGCACTGACCGCATTTACTCTTTAATTTCCGTACGGTTATTTTAATATTATGCCATTAACAGAATAAAAAAGCTAATCGTTGGTAGTACTGCTTATTATGTTTGTTAACTTCAGAATCGTTTATTGATTTTTACAAGTATTCCTGCTTTATCGTTATATTAATAATTATAATCAGTAATCTTTTTAAATATATTGTCATCAATCTTGCGCGATAGAGCAATATCACCAATCATCATACTTGTATGGGTAAATACATATTATGCACCATTATAAGCAACAAGAAATTATACCGTTCTACATTCGCTACTTTTGTAGTTAAAATGTATAATTTATGCGATATGTATCTAGTCAGTTACCGTTATAGCGCAATTGTTTCTCATAACTTGAACTTCTAGCTACTGTTACTTGATGCCATAGTATAGATGCAATTGTGGTTTTAAAACTTTATACGCATCAATTCGCATTAGATTACGGTTCTTTACCATATTAGCTTAATGTACGGTTCAACTCACATGTAATTTCTCAAAGTTATTTTTTGCTGTTATTGTATGTATTCCTCAACGCACAAACTTATAAATAAATTGTAACTTAAAACAGTCAATATGGTAGTCAGTATATTAAAGAAGTGAGTATTCTTTATATAAAAAAGGGTACATGTTAGTAAAGGAAGGACGAGGAATAGTTAATTCAGTTTAAAAATATCGCGGTATAATGTCACCACTTATTTACTTAATGTTTCCCCTACAGTTTAATTTATAATTGCCATACAAAAAAAGAGAATAATTGAGGATGATCGGTTTAGAATCAGTAATGGACATATAATATTATTATTTGTCCGTTTATTATGCCAATAATTCCTTACATTTGTTTAAAAACTAAATTGAAGAAACACAGCATAAAATATTTATTTGCGGAAGCAGTATGAAATACTAATAAAAGTGGACGAAAATTACCAACATAGGCTGTTAAATTTGATTAAAACTATAGAAACTAAAAATCATCTGTTGAAGAGAAACATCACAAATTAGAATAAGGCATGCACGAAGCTACTATATCGTACTTATTTGATTTGTTAATTTACGCATCTACTGGAAGCCATATAAGAATCATAACCTGAAATCTGAATTAAATTGCCGAGAATACTGAATCATAAAGTATTAGATAAAATTGGCAAATTCCAGTAATGCATTATTTCTTATTGTTATATTTGCTCTCAAATTAGGCATTTGCATGTTGTCATTTACAATTAATTTGTGACAAGATCGACGAAAAATGAAGGTAATATGATTTGATGTCATTGATGTCTTTATTACTATTCAAAGCCAAAATTCTCCTTAGTTATTAGCTAGTAAATTGTTAAAGTTTTCATATCCTGCAGACATTTGATAGTGATTAATATTTATACTGTATGAATAATGACTGCAGATTTGAAAGATGCGTCATCTAAAGATTTATACATAGGGTTATATCATGAATAACATTAATATCTTTACTAGCGATAAGTATCGACATTATCATGATTATTTACGTGCATTAATAAGTAAGTAAATGATCAATTTAGTTACCTAGCTACAGAAAAATGGATGATAGTTTTTGATTAACTCGTACAACGCTAATGTAGCATATTTCATGTCTGTCTTCATTAAGTTATAATAGAAATCAAATGGTTTACCGTGCCAGTATAAAAAATAGACGATAATTCTAAGAGTTTAAAGCTATATAAAGGGTATGCTGTCTGTATCTGTTTTTACCATAAGATATCATGGATCTAAAAACGATTAATTAAGCTATTTAACGAGCGAAATCGATGATGATAATGTGAATTCAACGTCGAGATAGTATATTATTTTATGTCTGTTTTTACCATATATCATCATCGATCTAATACTACAATAGATTACAAGCATTGTTTAGCGTAAAGCATATATTCAAATTAAAATAATTAGTTGACCAGCATAATTTGGGAAATTAAGCATGTTTGATTTATAATAAAGAATAGGATGGCAATCTACCGATCTTTGAGCGAGTATAGCATACTGAAAATATTATATGTACCGTATTAGGCATGTAATATAATGTAGTACAAGGGCTATTAATGGTAATTCGTTACTTTTACAACACCATATTTTCGATAAACTTCGTAATTAAAATCAAGAGTATTATGCTGCTGAATTTGACGTAAATCTTAAAATTTCGATCTAATCATTAATTGTGGTAAGTAATACTTTGGATTAATCATGGCGATTATGATGGGCCTAATTAATAATATGTTTTAAATTTAAAATCGTAATTAATAACCCTGGTATTAAGATAATCTAGCTATGAATTTTCTTTTAATTTACAGTACATATAATTTGTGTTTATAAATTTAAAAAGCATAGACAGGTTATAGTATCTAAATATGTTGAAAATAAAACATTGTTAATGCTATTAAGCATGACATGTATTGCCATTTATACAATTACACTGTAGTATACCTCTTTATTTTACGGAGATTTTCTCATTACCTTTATAATTAATTACATCAGTGAGCGAAACGATGATGATTGATTGTGAATTACTTTTTCTCAATTTCTTGAAATAAATACGGTAACTATTAAGGCAAAAATCTTAATTTTATCTTTCAAGTACGATAGAACTCGTCTTATTACTTTTCATCAGCCAAGCTATGGTATTTTGCAAGTTAATAAGCTACATTAATTAAGATAAATAAAAAATTCAATATTAACACCTTGAACATTTTATCGCCCTCTAAGCCCTCTGATCCCACTAAAATTGGACGTAATCAACACTGTTTAGTATTTCCATACCTTAGGTAGAGAGAACTAAGATTTGAAAACCATGCTTGTACGTATTTGTCACTATTATTTCTTATACAATTCAATTTCTTTATCAATGCCTAAAATTTCTATGTCAGTATTTGCAATATTGATACGGTAGCCTTAAAATCAATCAAGATTGGTATTATTTGTATCAATAGTTGAAGCGGTATTCAATCAAATTTACTTTACCATCGTCTGATAATCTTGATATGATTCAATTACCTGATATGGTTAAGATCAATCATGATAAGTCTATAAACTTTAGCATATAATTTTAACCGTAAGGCTCTCGAATTTTTTATCAGAGGTCTTTTAGTTTTATCATTACGTAATAATACATTTTGATTTAACTGAGATCAATCAGAAACCGTAAAAAAATTTATGACGATGGTCGAATGATATTGATCAAAGTTTTTGATATTGCAATTAATAACTAGAAATGGTTATTAATTTGGGAGCTTCTATTTGGCAATAAAATACCAGTTTTCTATAAATAGCTATATCGATCAAAGAGAATATATTTATGTAGTAAGAACTAAGAAAATATCGTATTATAAATTTGTAACTCATCTCACAAGAGCCATTAATAAATTATTATTGCGGGATAACTGTGAATCTCATAGATTTTAGTTCAGAATACTCTTAATCTGAGACAGCAAATAATTTGTTAGCTAATTGGGTAAAGAAGCTGCTCGTACACAATTTAAGTAACACCATTTAGGGTAGTAAATTTTATCGAACCTCAACATCACTCAGGTATCTTATCATGTAAGTATGAACTGCCAGACATTTTTTAATTAGTAACTATTTACTTTAAGCCTATACTTGCCATTAAGGCGATAGTATCATTTAATAAAAAGTACTATACGATAGACTACATAAGGTATCGTTTTAGAAATTAATAAACTACCTTATTTCATTGTAAGAAATTAACATTACGACAATTACGAAATGATCTATTATTAATTATTAACTGTCTAAAAAAAACGAAAAATCGCGTTATCTTATGTCGAATACCAGGCGTTACTAGAGATCTTGGTTGTATTTTATTAGATCCTTGCTATCGATGTGAAATTGATAAAACAAAGGTGATCAGAAATGCAGTAAAGCAGCTATATTGATAAAAGACAGCATTGTTTAATATCTTAATAAGGATGGGTTTAGAGCATTCATTCAAAATCAGATTCAAGTTATACTTATCCAGTTTCTTATTAAGGTCTTATAGTTAGTAATTCATTGAAATCTTAAACTGAGTAGAGCTCTCCGTTTCTTACGCTATTCCTATGGCTATACTTCATGCTATTAATCACTTATTATCAATTGCAATATGATGCCTATCCAGAATATATCAATCACATATGATTTCACTACTACAGTATGTTATATTTCCAATTAAGATAGCCACGACTTTAATTCGACTATATTCACAATAGACAGATGAAAATTATCATATTAACTAATAAAACAATAAACTTTTGGACATTTTTATATTAAATACGAATGTCATTTTTTTAAGTCGTCATGAAATTAATAAAGCATGGATCGATTTTTACGTATCCAAATGTACACAATATGTCTATATTAATAGCATTTACTTAGATCACTACATCATTAAATTAGCTTAGTATATTTCACATTAGCTTTAATTTTGTGCAAGACTTCATGCATTATAAGTATAGAGCTAAGCTCAGACTATATTGATAGTTCATAAAGCTATTCACTGATTGCTTCATTATGAGCCTTATAGTATTATATTTCGCTATATCCTATTTTGAAAATAAAGTATAGTCAATATGATAGGATTCAAGTTTATACATATACAGCGCGACTGTATCACACACAGGCTGTAGAATCAATGATTAATAAATAATGTCATGGACTTTTTATGATTTTAATTAACTATTGAGTATTATTTGAAAAAGTAATTGATCAGTAGAGAAGCGATCGAATTCTAGGAAGTGTTTCTACTATCAAATAACTTTTTAGCTATCGATCAAAACTTCCTGATAGAAGGCTAGCGATAAATCAGCTATAATTGTTCGTGTTGAGACGATAAACAACTTCCATTTTGAACGTTTTAGGTCATAAAAGTTTTGAGCATGTATTAATTGAAATGGTAGAAACAGTCTATTGGGATTGTTAGACAATAATAAATAGACAACAATAAA